CAGGGTCCTCTGCTTCCATCAGGGAGAATATTCTGTTCAGTGACTGGACGAGGACCTACCTGCAGGAGGGGCCTTAGCCTTGGGGCCTTGTCACCTGAGCAGCTGGTCTAACTTCAGGGCGCTTAGCATCTGTGTCTGCATTTCAGTAATTCTTATCTGGAGCAGGAGGGGGTGGTGCTGGTGCAGGCTGGGCGGCTGTGACGAGGCCCTCTGACCAAACTGAGGACGCTCGAGCTGCCCTTGACCGCGGAGATGGGACGCTGTGGCCCGTGGGTTACACATTGATTTCTTTCTTGCCTCGGTTTTGAGTCTTTCTCTTTTTTCGACTTGGGTTTCCCTCTCCAGGTGAAAAAGCAGTAACCACAGGGAGGGAACCTGATGATTTTGGCCTCCCCTGTCTGGCGCGTGGCCGGTACTTAGCTGCGTAACCTTCCCACTTTCTCTGTCTGAAATTAACGTTCACCGCATGCTGCTTGGGGGGTTGGCTCTGGGTGGGACAGTTTGGGTGTATGACTGGGGGGGGGGCGGCTGCCCCTCTGGGTGCTGCCACGTTCTCTTTGCTCACGGGAGGCCCCCCCAGCGCTGATCTTGAGGTGGATTTCTTTGCCCTTTGGGTGCTCTGTGATCACCGGCTCCCGGGGAGGCCTCGGACCCTACCCCGGTGGCCACATCCCCGAGGCTGGCTGTTTACCCAGTTGGTGCCGAAGACTGACAAATGATTAACCCCCTGGAATCCCTGGTGGACCCCAGTCCTGGTCATGAGTTCAGTCTTTGGAACCTCAGACTTAAGTTGTTTTTCCAGCACTTCTACCCAGCCGGGCGTCCCCGCCTGGGCTGCGCTGTGGGAGTCTCCCTTGGGAGACGGTGGAGCACAGGGGGCGTGGGAAGTGAGGGAGGAGGCCTGCACAGCCAGAGATGAGGTAAGCGAGGGACCCGCAAGGGAGAGGGCGGCAGGAAAGGAGCTGCAGCCAGCGGAGGGCGGAGGGGCTGCTGCTGGCCGGCTGCCAGGCCGCTTCCTTCCCTGCCCCGACAGCCCGTCCCGGCTGCTGGCCGCGGCCGCAGCACATGGCGCGTGACACCGGCCTGGCTGCAGCGGGCAGCGGGAGCCTGAGGAAAGACGGGGCACTCTGCCCTCGGGATGCCCTCCCCCGCAGCTCGGCCATCCTGCCCGGAGGGCTGGTGCTTCCCCGGTGTGGACCCGCCACAGTGAGGTGCCGGGGTGCTGGCTGAGTCCTGGCTGGACCTCGGAGCTGGGCTGCCTGGACTTCCCCTTCTGAGCCTCGGTTTTCTTCGCCTATAAAACTGCTCCTCCTTTCCCGCCTGCCTTCTTTGGACCCTCACGCCCCAGGACGACGAGCAGTGGTTTATCTCGTAAAGGCCGGCCCACTTGGGACTGTTTCTGTGTCTGTTTCTCTAAAGACAATCCAGGAAGGCTGGGGAGAGGGTGGGCTCGCTGCCCCGGCTGCTCCACAGACCGCTCGGCTGGGCCCCTGAAGTGCGGGGCTCTTGCTGTTGGACGGGGTAGTCTCTGCAGGTAGCCCCCGGGGGGTGTAGGAGGGAGAACCAGGCTTTGCTGGTGATTTCCTGCCTTCCTCCACCACCCCTCCCTCCAATATTCTTGATCACATTTATTTCCACTCTGTAGCATTATCTCAGACTGATCTGATTAGACTTTGCCAATGGGGTTGAGTTTGTCTAGAAGGCACAGAAACATCTTCCGAGTGACCCTACAGGATAATCAACACTCTCTTTCTTGAGTTGGGGGTAAGAGCTAAGGATGGGAAATCACTGCATGTCGCGCAGCCCTGGTGAGGCTGCCTGATCCCACCTGATGGGATCTTGCTGCACCTCCCCTCGCTCACTGCTGTGCTGGTCCGCGGCAGGATCTGCATCCAAGAGAAGCGTGTGGTGGTAGCGGTGGGAGTGGGCTGCGCTGGCACGGGCTGCTGTGCCTGCTGAGTAAACAGGCTGGAGCTGAAAACATCTAATGCAATTGGCCCGGGGCCTCCCTGGATGGATGCTCCTGCCAGTGTCATAGCATGAGCTGGAAGGGGACTCGGTACACTCGAACCCAACCTCCCGGTTGATCAGAAGCCCAGAGGGGGCACAGGCATACTCGGGGTCACATAGGACACGGCTGTGCTTGGCTCTGCCCCATGACTGGCCCCATGCTGGCCCAGTGATCAGAGCTACATGCAGAATTAACCTTAACCACCTGCCTCCACCATTGCCTCAAGTTGCTTTTCCCCTTCAGCTTCTACCCCGTCTACTGCCCCTGACCGGCGGTGTAAGCCAGGGTTTATTGACTAGGCACCCTGTTCAGCTTGAGGCCTGCACGCTCAGTGCACAGCCTGGGTCGTCAGTAGCCACAGTGTAGAACTGGCCTTTTCCCTTGTCCCGACTCCCCAGGCAGGCAGCCTGCTATTCATTAATAGAGCCTTTAGCGGCCGGACCCGGGCACCTCTGTTGTTACTTGCCAAAGGCCATTCTCGATGGATATAGCTGCAAGCAGGTGTGCCCCACGTTAGGCCGGTGTGTGTCTGTGTATTTTAAATCTAGAACTGGGCTAAAGCTTCATGATTTTGTAACTACCATTGACTGTCTCTCCTAAGTGCTAGGCTTTTGCAAATGTTAATCTACAGCAGGTGGGAGATCTTTGTTTCTAAGGGTGCAGATTCTGAGGGTCTGCCAGGTGAAGTCACCTGCAGAAGGTAACGTAGCTGGCGAAGAGCAGAGGGCACCCAGGTCAGTCCTGCCACAGAGCTACTCACTAGCCGATCCTGGCCCTGCCTCGGAAGACAGGTGGCTACTTTTTATTTTGAGAATGAAGGGGAAGGAGTTGGAACAAAATGTGCCCAGATATGTATTGATTGACACTTCAGTTATCCCACAGCGTCTAGATAACGTTTCTGAGAGCGAAGTCTTCTAAGCTGAGGTGATCACAACTGCTGTCCTTGTCTTCCTTTTCGTTGCTTCAAGAATAACCATAGTTTTCCTTTTTCACAAAAATAAAATGTTTTTTTTTCTTGTGCTGATAAATATACATCTTTATTGTAGACAACAGAGATTGCACAAAATGGGAAAGCCATCCCACAGAGCCCCCCAGCTTCTGGCTAAGGGGACGGAGTGCTACATAGCAAGGTTAATTCCGCGCTGCTCCTTGGGATCGTATGGCCTTGGGCTAGCCGCTTAGCTCCTGGGTCACTTAGTTCTTCATCTTAATTCGTCTTCTTAGTCACTTAGTTCTTCATCTGTGAAGTGGAAAAACAATACCCGCTTCACTGGGTTTTAATACCAAGCCACTAGAAGTGACCAAGAGATGTTTACCATTGTAAAAATCTCACGGTCTCCTGTCCGAACCTGTATCTGCATATGTAAATATATGTGTCTATAGATGCTAGTGCACATATGCTAATAAAATTATTTTTAAACCATCTAGTTTTTTTTCTAATTATACACCGTGACTGCCTTTCCTCCCTTCAAAATAGCCTCCTCTGTTACCTGATAGCTGCTGGAGCCCCATGACGTAGTGGCATGAACACACTGAGTCCATCTTATTTCCAGTATTGCACTAACAAATATGCATTTTTAAACAAATGTGCATCGATCTGAAGCCACACGTAGCCTCTCTCTAGGTGGCAGGAGCTTCTGGTCTTTTCTGAGGCGATCTCCTCCTGCTCTTGCTGTGGCTTCAGGCCTGGACCTTTGGGTGCTCGGCACCCCCGATTCTGTGTGTGGCTGTGAAGTCCATGTCCAGCCCTAAGTGGGGGAACTCAGGTCTCCTTAAATCTAGAAACCTAGAAAAACTGTTTTTTCTTTTAGTATGTCTGGTGTGAACTCTCTTTTCATCCCAAGAAACCACAAATCAGAAGGTCCTCTTGTTCTGTTTTGGCTATGTCTGCAGTGCCAAGGAGGTCTTCTGTCCTTCCAAGGGCTGAGAGGTGAAGCCCTGCTCAACACTTTCCAGATAGCTCCCCAAAACCCACCCCACAGGGTGCAGAGCTACAGCCACTTCTGCACCATCAGCACCACAACCTGCCATTTCAGTTCTGTGTGTTTCTAGTCACAGACTTGTTGATTCCTCTATCTTAATGATGAGGAAATCCGCTTTTTGTGTTGATCAATACACATCTTTATTGTAGAAAATATAGATTTCACAAAATGGGAAGGCCATCCCAAATAACCCCCCAGCTTCTGTCTAAGTGGGCACTGGGGCTCGTCTTATGGAAGTCTTAGCTAGTCTTGGATTGGCCAGCGCCCTCCATGAGACCCCGGACTCCCGCTCCCTAACACCCAGCCACTAGTGAGCCCTCCGGCCCACCCAGCCCGAGTGTACCAGGCTCCAGGCTCCAGGGCTGTGTGCAGGCTCCAGGGCTGCCCGAGGTAAGAGGGTGATGGGCAGGCGCGATTCGGGGTCTGTGGTCTCTGGTGAGCTACACCCCTTCTGCTGTGTATGGCTTCAATGTGACTCCCCTCCTGCGGCCCAGCAGCAGAAATCCTGAGTGTCTGAAACCTGGCTTTTTAAACAGTTTACATTCTAGGGAGCTCAGCCGCATTCCGGGACGCCGACCGTGGACTCCACTTCCCTGGGCCTGTGGGAGAAGGGCTGGGTCTTGCGCTCAGGTCTCAGGCCTGCGGCAGCCCTGACAAAAGAGATGGTGTGGATTTAGGGCGGCGAGTCTGCCACAGTCGCCCGGGACGGGTCTCTCTCTGAGGTGTGCGGGGATGGCGTGAGGATTTAGAAAGAGAAATCCTGCGTATTCCATGCTGAAAAGAGAAATCGTGGACACCCCACATTGGTAAAACTGAAAGTACCAATTAGCTCTGCAGTGTTTTCTAAAGTGTGTTTTAATGTTTCCTCCTGACACTCCCTATGAGGGAGGTTAAGCGCCCTCCTGTCACTCAGGAGGACACGGAAACAATGAGAGGTTAATGGACTTGCCGGGCTCCCCAGGCTGCGTGGCCTGATTGGCGCTCCCTGCAACAGCCCGGGCTAACGCTCTCGCCTCAGGGCTGGCTTAGCCCCTATCGATCTTGCAAGTCCTGTTTCGGGGCTGCAGAGGCGGAGAACGTGCTGGTCACTTCAAAATCTTCATCCAAGATCCTTGACCTATAAAAACTGCATCGTCGTCGGCAGCTGAGCTGCAGCAGTGAGGGATGACAAAAGTGAATTATTTTTGGCTCAGTGGCTCAGGCTTGACAAGGAGGTCTTTAAATGTAAACCTGACATCTACCAAAGGTTTAGGAGCCTGATGTCACTTTCTCCCTACAATTCATATTGTTTCTGCAGAGGGGCTAACATGTCCCCGGCCTGTGCCAGGGACAATTAAGATATTGCAAAATATGTAATAAGTTTAAAGAGGTAGCTTCTGATTGAGAGGGTCCTGCACCTCTTGCATGCACCCCCAACGTACCTACGAAAGCCTGAATTTCTTGGCTCGCTGCCTGCAGCAAGGCAGCCAGTCCTCAGCGCAGAGGTGGGCTGGTGCTGCAGGTCACATGGTCTTGCATGAGAAGTGAGGCTACAGAGGCTTCTGTTATTTTTATGTCTTGAATGTAATTTTCCTCTGACTTCTTAGAGCCCTACTCAGAATTAACTAAAGTCCTCACAGGATTGCTGTGGGCTCAGAGAGGGCAGCCCCTCTCCCAGCCCAGTTTTGCTGGGGTGCAATTGACAACCTGTATCCTGAGAGGGAGACCTCAGCTTTGAGCATGAGGAACAGGATTTTGAGGCACTCAATGAATGGTTTAGTCCCCACTTAACTGCTTACAAAACAGCCTTAGACCACTGGGGTCTTTTTGAGCTTCAAGCTTTTTCAGCTGTCAAATGGGGAGCCCCACCCCTGTGACACCTATAACCATGCACTAGACACCTGCTTCATGGAAACAGATCACACTGCAGTGAGGGTTGGCATGTGGCTTCAGAAAGAGACGCCACGCACCCACTGGCATCCAGACCTACCTCCTTTGCACCTTAAAATGTAGGGTGGAGCAGAGATGTCTGCGGCTTGGGACATGATGCATTTCCTGGGAATGTGACACTGATTTGCGCGGAAACTCAAGGCAGATGTGGGGAAGGGTTGAGGCCAGACTGACGCGACCTTTGTCTTTGTGTTTTGTCTGGAGCAGGGACCCCTGGTCACCACCCTTGTCCTGTTCTTCCTGGATGGAACAAGAAGATAAAGACAGTCTGTGTGACGTCCAGGACTCAGAAGATAAAGGGATGGGCTCTGATTTTGAGAACTCCGAGGACAGGGAAGGGGACCCAGAAGGACGCGGAATGGGCTTGAATCCACAGGATACGGACGAGAGTGAGGGCCACGTGGAGGAGGAGCTGGGCCCCCACTCTCGGGCTGCAGCTCCTGGAGGGGCCTCGGAGGAGAGGGAAACCGCGGCCGACATCTGCACAGGTGAGGGGGGAGCCCGTTTCCAGGAGGCTGCCTCATTCGTATTATTTCTAGCTCCTGAAGGTATAACTGTGCCTGGCATTGGCTGCCAGGGTGCCCCCCAGGGGAAACTGGAAAGCAAACTGTGCCATCTCAGGCCGAGGAACATCCCTTCCCTCAATCCACTCCAAGGTGGGCTGTGCTGGTAAACGTGAGTGAAGTGGGTAACTCCATGGGGACAGCACTTTGCAGTATGCAGATACTGCGGCAATGAGCACTTGGGACAACACTACGCAGGGAACACAGGTCACAGGGGACTTCCCCAGGGGGCTGGTGGGGACTAGAAGAGTCGCTGTGTATAAAGACAGCAGGTGCTAAGCAAACAGAAACCATCCAGGTGTTCACAGGTGTGGTCATGCCCTCTGCTGTCAAGAAGACTCAGTGCTAAGTGACCCACCCAGGCTTGAGAGGATAAGACCCAGGGTGCCCTAGGCCTGTGCTGAACAATAGCTGTGCTTGACCTGGAAAGAATATGTGTGTTCTGCACCAGCTTCTTTATCCTACTCTGTGCATGTCTTGGGACCGCAATGAGCTGAAATGTCCCCTGGCCAGGACTGTCAGCTCACATTCCTCCCCTGTGACATGCCCCAGACTCCCTGCTGGGCCCACAGCATGTGGTCTCTCATATCTCAGCAATTTTCTGCAGTGTCCTCTGCTCGGGAGAAGCAGCCAGAGACAGGTGTGGGTTCTGGGTCAGTCTCCACACTGGGCTCACAGCTCCAGGCCTGAGCTCACCTCCTGTTTTCCCCCTAACCCCCTGAACCCTTACAAGGTAAAGTCCTCGAGTTGGGGTACCTTCCTTTGTTGGTCCACCTTAAGCTGTTCCAGGCCAACTGTTCATATTTTAAAACAGCCCAGGGCTTGTCTCTGAGGCCAGGGCCTTGAAAGCCCCGGTAGCTCTGAGTGAGCAATGTCTTCTAAGACCCTGCGAGGCCCACCTGCGCCAGACTGACCATCACAGGCCCACCTGGCTGGCCTTCAGGTGCCTCTGCTGAGTGAAGCCTCAAGCAGAGGGGTGGGGTGTGGGCCCAGACTGCTGGCCGCAGGGCGGTGCCCTGTAGCTTTTAAGGTCCTGGCCTGGTGGCATTGGCGGGAAGGAGGCAGGAGCCCTGGCCACAGCTGCCTGGGAGCAGGGATTGCTTGCATCCTTGAGACGTTCTTCCCCTGTGTAATGGTAGGACACAGAGCAGGGTCTCTATGACCGAGCAGATGGGGTAAAGGAGGAATCCTAGAGCCCTCGGTGGCTTTTCAGGCTTTTATTGGGATTTACTGGGTACACAGCAGGCAGGGGTGCTGGGGGGCCGGGAGGCTGGCAGATCTCCCAGCCCCCAGCAAGTCTTCACTCTGTCTGGGCTCTCCGGCCTTCACTGGTGGTCTCTGCTTCTCTTTCGCTCTCTCCGCTTCTGCTCTACGGGTGTCCCCCCGACGCCGCCCTTATAAGCCCAGTCTTAGCCCAGGTGAATCCCATCTACATATGCCCACACCCCACTCCAGGTGCCCGCCCTCAGGCATGCACTCAGGCCCGCAGGGATCCATCATCCATCCTAATGGCGGGAGGACAGAAAACCCTGAAAATCACTTACCTTACACCCCGGGTTTATCTTTTTCTTTTTTTTCTTCTTCTTGAATTTTCTTTTTTTTTTAAATAAAATTTATTTTTATATTCCCCATACAATTGCAACCCCCTTATTTTGACCCCAATCCCTCCACTCCCGCCCCCACCCCCCATAGAGTGTCTCTGGTTCATAGTTGTTTGTTGATTTTGATTTTCACTTTCTTATAGTTATTCATTTTCCTGGTCCCTTATTTAAGTTTTCTAGATTCCTGCTATGAGTGAGACCACCCGGTATTTTTCTTTTTCTTTCTGGCTTATTTTGCTGAGCATGATCCCTTCCAGCGCCATCCATGTTGCTGCAAATGGCATGTGTTTATCTTTTTTGAATGCTGAGTAATATTCCATGGTGTATATGGACCACATCTTCTTGATCCAGTCATCTATTTTTGGGCATTTGGGCTGTTTCCAAAGCTTAGCTATTGTCCACAGTGCTGCTATCAACACAGGGGTGCAGGTGCCCTTTGGAATGGATGTTTCTGTGTCCTTTGGGTAAATACAAGGACAGTCACCCTCGCCCCTTCTCTTGCAGACGGCCTGCTGAGCGCGGCGGAGGGGCTGTTGCTCCGCGAGGCCGAGGAGCACCCCGCGGGCGGCGCAGCCGTGTCCCCAGGCCTGTCGGAGCCCGACAGCCTCTCCGGGAGCCCGCCGGGGCCAGAGGACGAGGAGGGGCGCAGCGGGGCGAGCCGGCCGGAGGAGCCGCTGGAGCCGCAGCCGGTGCTGCCCTGGCGGCGGCACCTCTCCCTGGGCAGCCGGCACCGGGGGGACAAGCCCGCGCACCGGCGCTTCCGCCGGCTGCACCCCGCGGTGGCCGTGGACCTGGGCGAGCTGGACAGCCTGGTGGCCAGCATCATGGACGCGCCCACCATCTGCCCGGACTGCGGCGAGAGCTTCAGCCCGGGCGCCGCCTTCCTGCAGCACCAGCGCATGCACCGCCTGGCCGAGGCGGCCGCGGCCGGCCTGGAGCCCTTCGCGCGCGCGGGCGAGCGCGCGGCGGGGGGCGCGGGGGGCTTCGGCTCCGGGGGGCCCGCGCTGGCCCGGCCGGCGCGCGAGAAGCCGTTCCGCTGCGGGGAGTGCGGCAAGGGCTTCAGCCGCAACACCTACCTGACCAACCACCTGCGCCTGCACACGGGCGAGCGCCCCAACCTGTGCGCCGACTGCGGCAAGAGCTTCAGCTGGCGCGCCGACCTGCTCAAGCACCGGCGCCTGCACACGGGCGAGAAGCCCTACCCGTGCCCCGAGTGCGGCGAGGCCTTCAGCCTCAGCTCGCACCTGCTCAGCCACCGGCGCGCGCACGCGGCGGCCAGCGGGGCGGGGGCGGCCGCGCTGCGCCCCTTCGCGTGCGGGGAGTGCGGCAAGGGCTTCGTGCGCCGCTCGCACCTCGCCAACCACCAGCGCATCCACACGGGCGAGAAGCCGCACGGCTGCGGGGAGTGCGGGAAGCGCTTCAGCTGGCGCTCGGACCTGGTGAAGCACCTGCGCGTGCACACGGGCGAGAAGCCCTACATGTGCTCCGAGTGCGGCGAGACCTTCAGCGTGAGCTCGCACCTCTTCACGCACAAGCGCACGCACTCGGGCGAGCGGCCCTACGTGTGCCGGGAGTGCGGCAAGGGCTTCGGGCGCAACTCGCACCTGGTGAACCACCTGCGCGTGCACACGGGCGAGAAGCCCTTCCGCTGCGGCCAGTGCGACAAGCGCTTCAGCGACTTCTCCACGCTCACGCAGCACCAGCGCACGCACACGGGCGAGAAGCCCTACACGTGCATCGAGTGCGGCAAGAGCTTCATCCAGAGCTCGCACCTGATCCGCCACCGCCGCATCCACACCGGCAACAAGCCGCACAAGTGCCCCGGCTGCGGCAAGGGCTTCCGCTACAAGACGCACCTGGCGCAGCACCAGAAGCTGCACCTGTGCTAGGGCCGCCGTGGGGGGGGTGCCCTCTGGGGAGCAGGTGGGGGCGGGCGGGGCCTGGGGACAGCGCCCTAGAAAGGCAGGGGACGTGGGGGGCGGGAGGGACAATCCGAGAGCGTGTTGGTGTCAGGGGATGCTGAAGGGGAGGGTGCTTTGGTGGGGGCTAGATCTTGCCCGCCTCCGTCCCAAGGAAGAGATGTCTCGGGCCCAAGGAAGAGATGTCTCGGCCCGCGCTGACCGAGGGGACGAGCAGGAGCTGGCACTTTGAAGACCTGGAGGAAGGAGAGGTTGAGGGGGCACTGGAGGGCCTGCCAGGGGAGGTTGGGCCACCCCCGGCCCTCTGAATCCGGGCGCGCGTGTGGCCCTAGTGAGGCACGCGTAGGCTGCTTCTGTGAGAGGCGGGTGTGTGTAATCCTATCCTGGGCCCCCCGGGAGGTAAGCCAGTTCTGTCCTGTTCCCCCACATCAGCTGCAGCCCCCGCAGAAGTAGAGGAAGCTGCCCGTTTTGGAGAGGGTGTTTTGCATACCCTTCCTTTCTCTGAGCCACAGTTAGCTGCTATTGTGAAGCATCCAGGGGAAGCCAGGCAGTTGCAAGGGCCGAGCCTCTTGAGGTGTGGAAATGCATTGGTTACTGGTCCTCGGACCTCCTGGGAAATCCTGGTTCTGCTCTTGGGTTTGTGCTACTTCCATTAAAATACTGTAGCTTCGTGCTGGGTCAAGGTGTCTGGGAATGACAGCCCCCTGCCCCTGGTGACCGGTGGCCCAGCCCAGCATTTCTTTTGGGTCTCTCTTGTGATCTCGTAAGGACAGGGAGGTGGGACAATCCCAAGCGGTGGGACCGGCCCTTCTGCAGGCCAGCATGACGCGTGCTCCGTGTGACCCCACAGTGGGGCGCTCAAGGCTTGAGACAGGAGGACATGCGCAGGGAGAGGTGTACATGCAAAGTTGCCAAATAGCACAAGCAATGAATGTTTTCTGGAGGTTATATAAATGCCAAAATAGCACTTTTATATTTGCAAAGTGCTTTATGCTTTTTAATAATTGCTAGTTTCTCACATCTCGGTGAGTTAGATCAGTATTAAGACCCCGGCTTAGGGAAGGCCTGGGGCCTGGGCTGCTCTGCAGAGGGCGAGGACAGTGTGGACGGGTGCTTTTGTGCGCTCCAGCTCAGCTGCTAGAAGACTTACCTGTTGTGATTTATATAATGAGATCAGGACACTGCACATGTGTACTCTGGATGGCTAACGCAAGGCTAGTCTAGAAGGGCCAAAGATGTCCTTGCTGGCAAAGCTGGTCTTTGTCTCATACAGTGTCCTAGATAACGTTTTCTTTCTAGTTGGGGCTGTAGGTAGATGACTTGTATAGATGTCCATTCCCTGTGCTGAATCCTCCTTCCCTAGTTTAGCTCGTAGAGGTTAGAGCTGCGGGAGGCAGCATCTTCTTCACTAGCAAGTGTTTCTCTCCTTTCATGGAGACAGCTTCAAGAACTGGTGGACACACTTGAAGAGAAAGAAAATAGCTGCAAAATTGTTTTTATAGCTTTAGCAAATTTTTCTGTGGATGCTGGTAATTTATACTTGATCAGTTGTGTTCTAGCAAAGACTCTGGGGACTGTAGGAAAGCATGTTTGTGTCCTTATCAAAACACATTTTAAAAAATACTGAGAGTTCTGGGCTCGGGGAATGCCTGTTGATCTGGCCCTCTTTGCTTCTTGTTATTCAAAGATGCAAAGTCTCAAAATAGGGTTTTGGGAAGACACCAATTCCTTTTTATTTAAGTCAAGAGTATGGGCAAGCGTAATCATCCATTATTTATTCTGATGCTTGTAGTCTGAATACAGAACGTGCAAGACTCGCCTGGAAATAATATAGCCAGTTGGTCGGTGATCTTATTCCTTCGGATTTTAGTTTCCCATGCACGTCTACCTCTTCCAGCTGTTTTAAGTTCTCGCAAGTCTGTGCCTAAGAAATCTCATTCAACGTTTGACCGTTCTGGTTTGATCCGCTTTTTATGGGTTATTTGGTGTTTTGCTGCCATCACCATACAATTGGAAGGACTCGTCTGTATCAAATGTTACCTGTCAGCATCCTTGGAGGAAGGGTTGGGGTGAGGAGGAGGTTGGAGCTATTGAAAAATAACTTAGTGGCAGTAGAAATCATTGGATTTCATTGACCTCTCCTGTCCTTTCTACGACCATGAAGAGGCTCAGCTACCACATCAGAACCCCTCCATGTGCCAGTCCTCCCGCAGAAGACGCCAACCAACACACCCTCCTTTTGTGGTGTTTAAAATGTGATTCCATTTTTCTTACAACTTTTCAGGGAACATACCTGCATCGAGTGAGGTGAATGCATTCAGGAGGCTGTTCCTTGTATCTAGTTTTAGAGTCATATTTTCTCAGCAGACCTTGTTAACTGTGGTTTACCTTTCAAAGCAATCGTCTGAAGATGGCGGCCGCCAGCTCAGTGATGGTGGAGGTGGGTGAATCACCGGTTCCTTGGGGAGCTTGTCCAAGCGTAGGCATCTTGCTGCCTTTACTGAGCAAAACCTCAGTCAGCTTAACTCGGTTAAGTGGCCTGATTGAATCTTGACTTCTGGCCTGGAAGACAAGAGCCACCTGGTCTCTTCAGGATCAAGAGGCTGAACAGATGTGAAAAAGTACAAATCAAGAACCTGTGTTCATAGACAATCTGAACTGTGTCTGAAGTTGGTGCACATTTCCCTTCACTGTAATGTTACTTTATAGCTGTTTGTTAAAATAGTGAATAATTTAATGACCCTAAAAGTAACAGGTTTTGTGTGAGTGTGTGCTCGTGTATGTGAGAATCGCCTTATTTTCAGGTTGTTTTATTTAAGGATGGTTCCCTGGACAGCCTTCTGGTGTTCAGCAACCATTATGGAATATTTGTCATTAAATCCTTATCAGTTTTACACCTGGTCTGTCTTTTTCTTCCCAATTCACGGCCCCTCAATTTAATGGGTCCTATTCTGGCAGAGCAGGGGCAAGCAAACAATCAGCTCCTGCCTGCCTGTTTGTAAACAAAATTTTATTAGCGTGCAGCCTGACCCTCATAGCCAGTCTGAGGCTGCGTTCACATGACATCTGGGAACGGTGAGATGAAGAGGTGGTGGTAGAAACACGTGACCCACAATCCCAACGGAGGTTTGCAGAGAAAGCATGAGCAGGTTCGGGGATCCTGGTTGTCCAGGGGTGGGCTGTGTCTAAATGGACCTTCAGGCACAGCTGGGAGTTCTGCTCAGCGCTTCTGCACCGTGTGGCTTTGGGACGCTGGGAACATGGGTATGCCACATGCCACAGTACGGTGCCAATTTCCAAAGATCTGTCTTCAACCCTTATCAGAACCCACCTGGGGGTGTTGGTGCAAGGCAAGGGAAGAGAGTTAGGGAGAAGGAGGCAGTGTTCGGTCTCCTAATTGATAAAAATAGGCATTTTTGAATCTCATCACAAAGTATTTTCTTTCCCCTGGTTCTCAAAAATGGAACAGAACTTATCACTAGACTGACCTTTTGCTGAGACTAATTTTTATTCTCTGCACAAACTCATGGAAACAGTGAGACAGCTGCTCTTTGGGAAGGGATTCATAAGAAATTTAAAAAGCAGAGGCATGAAAAGAACCTTATTTTTTTTTGACTGAAAGCACTTAACCTTTGTGCAAAAATCCTTGCGCCCCACCTTGCCTAGCAGGACAGCATGTGTCCTGGTCCTGGGAGACAAGCAGTTCTGTGGTCACACACACCCCTCCCCAGGCCTGGCTGTTTGAGTTTAAAGCTCTCAGACCAGATGCTGGTCCCTGGGAAAGTCACACCCACTCCTGGGAAAACCAAGTATTCGCAGTAGTTGCTCAGTGTCCCGTGGGAGAGCAGTAAACCCCGACTGGGCCACCCACCCCATGGAGGACGCTCAGCCTGAACCGGCCAGTACAGCGAGGGAGGCTCTGTCTAGTCAACTTGGAATTCTCTAGCTTGATTAGTTTAATGCAGAGGTCTCGACCTCCACTGCACAATGAAAGAGCTTTTAAAAACAAATAGAACCCTTTCCAGAGGTGGATGAATTTGCCTGGCATGAAATCCTTGCTTCTTAGGCAACCAGGCTGGAGACGTCTGTAGGACAAATTCAGCATCTTCGTTCATTCTTGGGAGTGATGGTGAGTAAAATCCATGAGCCTCAATTCCTCCTGATAAAAGGCACTGTAAAGACACAGCTGGCTGCTGCCCGGCTGTTCCTCCTAGGCCCACTGTAGGGGAAATGGAGTTCAATCAGGCTTTTCCCGCCCTCCTGCTGCCGGCCTCTACGACTGGCACCTGCGCTCTCACATTCCTCCTGGGCTGAGTTACCTGCATGGACGCCCAGGGCCAAGAGGCACGGGCATGGGGCACAGGCACCATGATTCTGGACACCTGGGCCTAGAGAACACAGGGCATGCGCGTGTGAAATACAGACACCTGGGCCGAGGAGCAAAGGGATGAAAGGGCTCTCTGGCCTGGCACTCGTGGTGGCGTCACTCTGAGGCTGGGAGCTCGGTTGCTGCCTCCCTACCTGCTGGTCTTCCTCCTGATTGAGCATTAAACACCTGTAAAATAACACCAAGGGCTCCAAAAATCTTTTTGTCTGTGATGACAATGAACCTCCAGGTCGTTAAAAATAATAGGTGCAGGCCAGGAAAAGTGCCTGACTTGGCTTTTCATCAGCAAATGCCAGATGGACACTGCAAGCTGCTCCCGACCCTTCCTGTCTCTGCAGGCCGATGATGGGAGCCTGCCTGCCTGCCTGCCCTGCGTTTGGATCTAACTAAGCACAATTCCATGCATTACTCCTGTTCTCAGCTGCCGTGGGCAATGAAATTGTTTCTTAAATCTTATCCCAGCAGGCAAAGGGGAGCAACACGCTTCCCAAATCTCCATCTCGAATAGCCCTGTGGTGTGGAGGCTTCCGCTTTCCTGGTCAGAACCCCAAGTGACTGCAGAGTGCAGCACCCTGCTGCCTGCTGCGTTTTCAAGGTCACCTCTGCTCACACTGCTGTGGTTTTCCAATTTCATCTGCTCCGCTGGAATCCAGACCGCTGCTCTCCGTGCTCTTTGACCTCATCACAGCAGCCAGAGGCACGCCTGGAAACCAGTGAGGTGAGAGGCAAGGAAGGTGTTTCGTGCACCAAGTTGCCCTGTGCTAAAAGGTTGCAAAAGGATTTGTGTATGCACGTGCTCAAGTGGCATGCCCACAAATACATGGACGTGTTTCATCCTGGAGAAAAGGGCTGCTGGACTCCAGCCTTCCCCAATGACCAGAGACCAGGGGATTCCCCAGATCCTGCGTGCAGCAGACGCAGTTCAGCGCCATCATTTCCTCACAGAAGGTTCCCTGACCCACAGGGCTGGAGCAGGCTTCTGTGCTCTCTTCCTGTGTGGGGGTACGCTCGCCACCGAGGCTGTGGCAGCGACCCTGAGAGGCCCACCCCGTGGACACAGCCGTGTGGGGACAGGGCCCAGGGCTGGCGCTGCAGCCTGAGCTGGAGGAGCGCGCGTGTTCTGAAGCTCTGCAAGGGCAAAGACTGGTCTTGTTGCCTGCCTTTCACCAACCCTGGCTTCATGGTGGTGAGTCGCTTTGCAAACTGTAAGTGTGACTTTTAAGACTTAGTCCCTGGTTGGGGTGGTGGGGAAGCAGGACCTTCTTGTTAGCTGGACTTCTAGCGTTGTGCCCGGTACGACGGCACCTTCTCTGCTGAGGCCTTATTTGTGTGACCACAGTTTGGGGTCACCACCCATGCCAGTTGGGCAGTGTCCACTTCATGTGGCTTTGATAGGTTGGGGAGAGGATGAGGAGGAGCCTGGAGAAGCTCATGAAGCTGCTAAAGCTCTGGCCAGACAGCTGGAGTTATGCAGGCTCTCCTTCACCTCCCGCCGCCAGCCTCCAGGGCCGCCGCCAGCCTCCAGGGCCGCCACCTGTGGCTCTGCTGCCCTCCCAGGTTTCGTCGCCCACCCATGATAATGTGCTATTGCAAGAAGTGCTTGGGGGCACGAGCACCCGTGTGTGCCAATAAATGCAGACTCCTGGGCCAAGAGGCCGGGGAGCGTGGGCCTTGCACATATATAAATGTGAAGGAGCGGCTCAAAAAGAGGGAGACCGAGAGAGAGAAGACAAGCAAAGCCAGAGCGTGTGGAGACTGCAGGGGCCGGGAGGCTCGGAGGCCGGGCTGCTGCCTACCTCCCTGGCCGCTGGTCTGTCTGCCTGTCCCCTGCTTCAGGGTTAAAGGCCTGTCAAATCTGCTGAGGCCTCCAAGATTCTTTTCTGTTTGCTGGAATCCACCTTGAACCTGCCTGGCCTGGGCGGTTTGCCCCGACACAGTTCTTTCATCGGGTCTATTGTTAGGAAATGCCAGTGTAACCTGGAGCCTGGCAGACGAGGCCACCTCAGGGCCAGGCCTGCAGCAGCTCCGCGGCTCTCTGGGTTGGAGTTAATGGACGCGGTAGGCGTGATGGACCTGACGTCACAGTCAGGGACTCTGGACCCAGGGGGGCTCAGTGTTGCTGCAGCCATGGCTGGCCCCCAGGGAGACTTGACCATGGCCTCTTCGGGGCAGCGGGAAGATGCAGGTGTGAGCTACAGGGGGAGGTCAACACAACCGGTGAGACACCTCCTGACTGCAACATCGGAAGCAGGTGGCTGCAGGTGACTGTGTCACAGCCCCCTGGAGTCCAGGGAGAGGAGAGAGGTGCAGGGCAGGGGCAGAGGAGGGGGCGTTGTGTCCCTTGAGGACGGTCCTGCTGGAGACCACAGACCGGGCCCTGGGAACCCTACCTGTGGTCTCCAAGGCAGGGACTGTCCTGGGCCTCCGCTTCCTCTTTGGGCGCAGTCTCAACAAATGCTCCCACTCAGGTGCCTCGTGGTTATGAAAGAGCTAAAAACCTACTTGGGAAACATCCAGAGTCAGAAGAATAGGAGTCCCGGCCCAGGCCAGAGCTACCTCCAAGCTCAGTAGTCGTGGGAGTTCCAGGAGAGTGGGAACGGACGCCTGGTAGGTCCTGCAGACCCCCCCACCCCATGATGGTCCCCCACAGCTACAGGGGCACTAGGCCCTTCACAGGTGAGGTGCCAGGGGCCGATGGAGCCGGGGCAGGGCTCACAGCCCAGCTTAGGGCTACAAATATTAGAGCTCCCTGCCTTCTCCCTCCCCCTACCTCCCCCTGCCTCCCACTTTGGGCCAGATGTGGGGATACACCTGCGCACAGGGCACTGTGGCGTCCTTGCAGTCCCATAACCTGGCCAAGGAGATGGACACCACCCAGGGCTGTGACAGGTGCCTGGTGAAGGGACACCCCCACCCCCCTGCTTCCCCCCAAGGCCGACACTACAGCAGCCCGGAGCATGCAGGGGCGTCGGCAGGGAAGGCTGCCAAGCCGTGGGAGCTGTTGCAGGCAGGAGGGCTGGTGGGGACAAGTCATGGCCGGAGCGTGTTCAGGCGATGGTAGAGACGTGACAGGAGCCGGTGTGACCGCCACTCTCACCCCTGCGCTCTGTGCTTCTCCGCCACAGCTGTGTGTCCCTGACCTGGGGCTCTGGAGGCAAACTTCCCCCCTTCTCAACCACGGGGATTGCAGTGTGTACTGGAGCTGCAGGCTGGAGAGACCTGCCTTCTCGGCCAGACAGAGCCTTGAGTCACTTTGTGCAGTGGAGGCAGGGAAGGAGCCTGCTGTTCAAAGCTGGAGCCCCTGGGGCTGTTTTTAGCTCTAAAAATTGAACCCCATACTTTGATCTCCCCTGGAGGAGGCAGTGACACCCCTATGTATCTATGATTGACCGATGGCGGTTTTGCCCGCTGCTGAGGGGAATCGTCACATCGGCGCCGGATGGATGATTTGCAAGGCTTGGTGCAAAATGGGACGCAGGCCCCCAGCAGACCATTAAATGGAGCCCCGGCCCAGAGGGACCCCGGAGGCTGCGTGCCATGGAGGCCTGTGGACAGGTGCACCCACGGTCTGACAGACTCCCGTGGGCGCGAGGAGGGATGTAGATGCGGGCGTGGGAGGGTATTCCTCCCTCCGCGTGAGGGCGCGTGCCAGGACGAGACCAGCAGCTCCCCACCCCGGCCCCCGTGAGGACTCCGTCCCCAGCACCGATTTGGGAAGAAGAGGGGACTTTCCTGGTGCGGGGTCTTGTTTCCTGCCCAAGGCCTGCACTCGTAATTAGTGGGCGCTTCAGGTTTCCAGAACAGACGGATGCCTGTGCCAGAGTTGGCAGCTGACCTCGGGCCCCTGCCCTCTGGGGACAGAGTGGCCGATCCCCTTTCTGTGGCCCCTCCCTCCCCATGGTCATAATGGCCCCTTTCATGCCTCCACACTGACTCCAGTCCGCGGCTTCCCTCGGGTGGGATCTAAGATGGCGATACCAGAAAAGGACTCCCCACAACTCACCCCGCCCCACTTTTGATGTTTTAAGGAGCACTTGGTGTGGCCTGAGAACTGTGTTCTTACCCGAGTCACTTAAGGGGGTGACTTTCCATCCTGTCTTTGGTAGAAGAATGTCCCAAGTTTTGCAGAGTAAAGAAACCTCTGGGCACAGGCTCAGGCTCCGGACACACCCCGGTGTGGCTTGTCCCTCTTCTCCTGGTTCTCCGTGATGCCCCAACTCCTCAGGTTCGTTTCTACCTTGGAGTTGCATGTGAATCCTTCCCTGCTCGTCATTCCTTCGGCCTCCCACCCCGATCCCCTTCCCTCCACATCTCAGCTGCTCAGATCCGCTTCTCTGCACTTATCTGTCCGCCTATGCCTCTGTCCGTCCCTCCACGCGCCCGCTGAGTGTTGGCACAGGGCCAGGTGCTGGGACCCCAGGTGGAGTGGTGAGCCCCCGCCCCACAGACGTGACGGTGCAGCCGGGGAGGCATTCTGCCAAACACTCAGACTGCGCGATTACATCCGCACAAGGCAGAGGCGAGAAAATGGGGAGCTTGGATGGTGAGGGAGCAGTTGGGAGGATGCGCTGGCAGGAGGTGGGCGAGCTCAAGGAACATGAGCGCCGGCATGGGGACGTGCAGACGTGCGTTGAACGTGGCGTAGCAGGTCGGAGCACAGAGGTGGAGGACCCAGGGACAGTGTGGGGTAAGCAAGGCTGGAGGTGGCGACGTAGGCAGGGGCTTGACCTTGAGAGAGCTTGCACACTCTCCCACCATACCCAGGGTTAGCCTAAGGGCCCTGGGGCTCCGCCGAATGGTGCTAAGGAAACCCTAACCGAGGCGGATCTTATTTTGGGTGGACAGGTATGGCAATGCAGCTGAGAAGAGATTCCACGGAAGTCTCCGAGGCAGGGTGGCAGAGATGAGGGCTCCTGGGCCAGCGCAGTGTCCCAGGGAGGAAGAGGGCACGCTTGGGTATTTGGGAGGTGACACTGGCAGGGCTGTGTGTGGACCGGAGGCTGAGTGAGGGTGTGGCTTCCAGGATTCTGGCTTGAGAAGGTGGGCACATGGGATGTATGGGGTGTTGTGACCACACAGGTGTCTCCTATGCAGCGTCCCTTCTGCCAGGCTGGCCTCAGCTGCCCCCTGCGTTCTCCTTTGTCCACACTATATAAATCAGTCGTCCACATTCTTGGAGTGCTCTCTTAATCTCTTCCCATCCACCCTCCACACTCGGCTGCCCAAGTAATCCTCCAGGACAGCTGGCCAGGAATCGCCAGTGGTTTCGGGTTGCAGGGCGAGAATCTCTGTTCTTGAACTATGAATATTCATTGCTCAGGAGAACCCAGGGTCAGGCTCCTTTTCCCTTAAAGGGCCTAGATTTGCAGAGGAAGAGGCATATTGCACATGAACTAAAGTGTCACAAGTCTTTAGAAAGGGGAACAGAATTCCTGCTTTGAGGGGAAAGACAGGGAAGTAGAGTGTGTCCTAGGGGTGACTCAGGGTGACCCCAGGTTTCTCTAGTCACGTGTCTCCAGGTGTGTCTTTCACGTCCCCTGCACCGCCCCTGGCTCCCTGTCCACAAGGTCTCAGTCTGAGAATGACAGCCATTTGCAGATCCCCTAGCTCCCGCGGGAATACAGACCTGCAGTGCTGCCTCTTGGAATCCCACTGTCATTTTTCAGCATCCAGCCCAAATGCAGGGCCCCTGCGGGTCCCTGTCCAGCAGGGCGCCTGCAGAACCTCCTTCCCCTTCTGTGGCCTGTAGTTCCTTTCCCTGCACAGTCCCTGTCTGTTCACAGCCCATCGCCTTAGGCCTGGCTCAGCCTGCGCATGTGTTTTGTGTGGATTCCTTTTTTTTCATCAAAATTCATTTATAACTGTCCGTTCATATCCACCTGTTCTGCACCCATGCATTTGACCCACCACAAGTCAGAAACACACACTGTAATTCAGCCTGTGGTGGTGCTTCTGGACGGAAGATGCACAGACCTCCCTCCTTGTTATTAAGTGTAAATACTGTAACTTTAAACTTTATTTTTTAAAAATATTTATTTATTTATTTACACAAGAACCGGGGTATAGGCCAGATGCGGGAGGGTGAAAGGATTCACCAGAGACAGAGCGGGGAACAGAACAGGCAGACTGAGGAAATAACACTGCTGAGGGGAGCAGCGGGCACGGCAGGAGAGGTCTGCACGCCATGTGGGACCCTCTCCTGCTGGCTGGGATTGAACCAGCGCTGCGGAGTCTGCAGACAGCTTCACAGCACAGCGCTCAACCGCCTGCGCCACCAGGGAAGGCCCTAATCTTTATTGCATAACAACTGTGTCACTAGCATTCACATTGTATTTAGTGTTATAAGTCACCTAGAGGTGATTTACAGTGTGTGGGGGCGGGGGTAGGTTCTATGCAAATCTGACACTGTTTTATATAAAGTTTTTGAACATCAGTGGATTTGGGTTTCCTTGGGGATTCCAGAACCTTCCCCACCAATACCAAGGCGCAGCTGTGTTTACAACATCGTAACATGTATCAAACGTAGGGGAAAGGACTTGGTATGACATCAGCTCAGGACCTGTCACCAAGAGCAGACAGTGCCCAGCACCCCACTTCACCTGTAATGTGGTGCCTGGCTTCTGCAGTTGTGTGGTTTTCTCTCTTCATGTAAAATCTCGGACGTCAGAGGGAACTGCTGACTAGCAGGTTCACCTTGACCTCTCTGCGCCTCTGTCTCCTCACCTGTCAGATGAGGATAACATTTGTTGTGAGGATCGTTACATGAAGTGTTCGGAACAAGGCCTGGCATGTAATTCTGCTGCTGGAGCTCCACAATCTCTGTCTAAAACCCTGAAGCTCAATGTGCTTTGAAATTCAGATTTCTTCTGGATTTTAGTAAGGTGATAAGTGTATATAGCACGTGTGACAAACACTGCCGGCAGGACCTAAGCCAGCACCTTGCAATCAACACACTGACATTTCTGCAGAAAAATGCCTGAATAATCACGTGACATATGATGCAGATTCAATAGATGCATCCACGTCAGGGTGGGCTGGGTAGGGAGTCCCCACTCCAGGGCTGCCCGGCCACTTTCCCCGGGATTTAACTATTGGAAATATGGGCTTGGTTATGAGAGGAGAGATTGTGCGGCCACTGTTTATTCTCACTTGGTCTGTTTGTTAATAAATTGATGATTTTGTCATTGAGGGGATAGATGTCTGGATGGATAGATAGAGGATGGATGGATGGACAGATGGATGGATAAATAGGCAGATAGATTAGATACATGATTGATAGATAGATAGATAGATAGATAGATAGATAGATAGATAGATAGATAGATAGATAGGCAGGTAGGTAGGTGGGCAGGGAGATAGGGCCCCAGTTTCTGCAGCAGCTGGCCTGGCCTGGGGCCTCATCCCTCTGTCCCTGCAGGCCCTGACCACGGTCTGCTGTTCTTCACCAGGCCTTTCACTGACTTGCCCTTCTCACCTCGGTCCCCTGAGGCCTGCCTCGTGGAGTCCATAGCCAAGTCTGGCACCACAGTGACCTAATCTCCCTGGGTAAGCCCTTCTCACCAGACAGCCCAGCCTGCTGCTTCCCTCCACCCTCCACCCTCACCCCCACCCTGCTCCCTGCCCAATCCTCCTCTTCCCCATCCATGGGCTCTGCGTGGGCCCTTCCCCCCCACCCAGCTCCCTCCCCAAATCTCATGCAGCCACCAAGGCCTCACTGGGATCCTGCGGCCCCATGAGGCTTTTCCCAGGATCCAGCCCAGCTCCGTTCTCTGGAAGCAAGTGCACAGCACTTACCTGCATGCCTGAGCTTGTGCCTTGCTTTCATTCCTTGACTCACTGAGTCCTCTGCCCCTGCGGGGCCTGGGCGGCCTGCCTTGGCCCTCCTGAACCTCTGCTGCCCCCGTGCGGTGCTCCCCATGAGGTGCACCCTGGACTAGGGTGTGTGATCACCCGCACCGCCTACCCCCCCCACCGGGGTTCATTTCTGCTCCCAGAGAAGTAAGGATGGCCGGGACATTGTACAACACATTGCAGGCCTTTATGCCTACCCAGCTGAGACCCCGGGCAGGCCAGCTCCTCCTTCCTCTCAGCTCCCCAGTCCCAGCCCCTGTGGTGACAACACTTTTTCCCTTTGCTGCTGCCCTTCTGGGTTCAGTGTTGGAGTCTCACCACACCACACTGAGGGGGTGCCCCACCCCAATGCCAGAGAGCTCGTTCTTTCGATGCTTCCTAAAAGCCATGTGTAGCTTCATTGTGTGATGTGGAAGGCTGGCAAAGGGCTTATGAATTGCCCGAGTGGCCGACACAGGTGCCTAGTGGTGCCCGGAGACTGGAGGTAATGCCCTGTGGTGCAGGTGGGGCCCCGGCTTCTCTCTCCCTGCCCAGGCCATTGCGTAGTGGCATTCAGACCCCCACAGATCCCCCTTGGGGGTTCTCCTAGGGAGTCTCCTGCACAGGCCTGGCAAGGAGCAGGGGACCCAAGGGCACGGGCCTCTCCCAAGGCCCGTGTGCTGCAGTGCTCTGCGGCCCCATCTGCAAACCCATCCATACCCCCATTCCAATTTGGCTGTAAACTCTGGGCAGTTCAGTCTGAATGTTTAGTGGAGCCAAGTCAGCCGGTCTGGTTCAATAGCCTCCGCACTCACCAGTGTGGCCGTCAACAACTATTTCCTTATCAATAAAATGGGAAGAGTAGTCTGCACCCCAGGTTTCTGGGGAGGACAGAAGTCAGGGAGCAGTGCCAGCCGTCTAGCACATGCCCGCAACATGGTCGGTGCCTACGTGACTCTTCGTTGGTCCCCACCCTGCCCTTCCAGACCCTCTGTCCACCCCAGATCCATGCTGTTTTCTAAGTAGGAGGTGGTGGTGCGTGGATATGGAGGGGGAAGGTGACCATTCACATACATCAGGCATGAAACCATTTATTATTCTTTTCATTGAGCTATGCAAAGAAATAGGAATTTTTAAAAGAAAAGAAATACTTCTGCATTTAACACAGGAAATGCAAACTAACAAGTTAGACTTTCAGTTGAAAGAGGCCCAAAGAACTCAGACTCAGCAGCTAAGACTTTGGTACTAGGCAGCTGCTGGCTTGACCTCTGGGGGGTGGGGATAGGCAGGAAGCTTCTGGTGGGCTTGGGAAGGTTTCTAGTAGCAGGACGAAGACAACGTGGTGGGTATCTTATACAAGGGAGGCTGTCGGGTCTGGGCTGTACCCATGTTGCTTTCTGGATGCAGCCGAAAGGGAAGAACTTTCTAGATCTCTCCTAGAGATCCTCACCACCCCCAGATCAGTGAGTCTTCATTTTCGGGGTCTTATTGTGTTGTTCCACCAAAAAGCCAACCCACTCCGTGGTTTTCTGCTTGGCTTCCTCCCAGCTGAAGAGGGGCTTATAGCCCAGGTCTCGCTGGGCTTTGCTGTAGGAGAAGGTGATGATGCTATTCGACAGCGTCAGCCAGTGGCGGTTAAGGGGCGGGTGATAGGTGTAGATCGGGCTGAGCAGGAAGCTTACCATCTCCAGCAGGAAGGCCAGCCAGTACCTCAGACTCAAGGGCAGGCTCCCTCTGGGATTGGGGGAGAAGCCCCATTCTTTGGTCAAGTTGTAGGTGAGGTTGTCATAGCTCTGGTGAGGCGTGTCATCTGCGATGTAGTAGAACTGTCCTTGGACTCTGGGAGCCTTCTTGGGGTCCTGCAGGGCCCTCAGAGCCAGAATGTGGGCCCAGGCCGCATTGCCCACGTATACGGGGTTGACAACGGAGTAGCTACAGTGATTCGACAGGATGTGGTTGTTCTGTAGCGCCCCATCCACACTGTAATAAAGGATCTGGCTTCCTTCCCCATAGATGTACATGGGCCTCAGGGCACACGTGGACAAGGTGCCGCCATTCTGAAGCCCCCTCCCATTGGCTGCCAGGACGGCCGCCTCGGCCAGCTGCTTGCTCACCGAGTACGGGGCCGACCAGGTGGTCTTGTGAAGCTCTTCTTCGCGCCCGTTCACGATGGCCTCCCTGTAGGAGTTGGGCCCGGCCACCTCGATGGTGCTGGTGTAGATGAAGGTGGGCACGCTTGCCTGGACACAGGCCTCCAGCAGCATCTGGGTCCCTGCAGCAGGGGCACATGGTCATAACCCAGGCCAGCCTGTCCAGAGACACCCAGCCCCCCACCCAATGAGCAGGACTGGGTGAGTCCTGTCGCCGACAGGGGTACACCTGTGCCCCTGAGGTCTGGCCACACCATGATGGCTGGAAATATGCAGCCACAAGAAGAGGCTGACATCTGGGTTCTGGGGAGCAAGACTTTCTCGGCCTTTGGATTTCAATGACCTGTCTTATCTTTTACTTTTGGAAAAGGACACAGGGTTGCCACTTAGTATTTTGCTGAGTTAGGATATTAAAAAATACCATTTATCATCCTGCCATCCCATTAAAGGCAGACTATTTGAAATCAAAAAGTGAGGGGGTCTTAATCTCAGCCCAGGGACAGTTCTCACCTTGGCCATGAGCGCTGGTAAATCTACACTCAATTCCGGATATTTTTCTCTGTTTTTTGAGGATCAATAAAAACTGTTATAGGACTTTTGTTTTTTTTTTTTTTTAATAGGACTTTGGGAGAGTCACTGAGCAGCTGATTAGTGGGTTTGGGGGAGAAGCTCCATTCCTTATTGTGTGTTGCCTACAAAGGCCACCCCCAATCTGGGCTGTGACTTGGTTTACCCAGATACAGAAAGTGGGCTGATCAGCACCCCCTTTGCACTCCCCAGCTGTGCCCTGGCCTTTGGGCTGGAGCCTGGTGGAGAACAGGGAGGAATGTGCCCTCTGGTGGCAATTCCTGGGATGGGAGGATCTCCTGTGCAGGGTCCAGCCCGGAGCTGTGGCCCGGAGCTTGTGACAGACCTGGTGCCTCAAGTCACACGGCCCTTTGTTCTTGGTCTCATCAGGTGACCAATGCCTTAGCGCTACGCGAGGGCTTCAGTGATGGCCAAGGAAACACCTGTGAGGTCTGCATCCAGCCGGGGGAGCAGAGGAGGCTGGGCAGCAGTAGTGTGGGGCCTGAGTTTCCTCACATCTTGTTTGGAGCAACAGTAGGGAGACGTCCTCCTCAAGAACGTCTGGCCGCGATCTGGCCACCTAATGTCCTCAGCCTCCTCAGCGAAAGAGCCGAGCCTTGATTTCTCAGCTGGTGGCCACGAGAGAAAGCGCTTGGCACAGGCCCGGGGAGGTGCTCAGCGAAGGGCCCCTCTTCCCTTCCTCCCTACACCCCGATCCTTCCACCGCCTCCCTGGGACACGCTACCTTTCACATTGACATTCATTATGGTGTTTCGGTGGATAACGTTCATGTAGTCAATGAGGGATGCGGCGTGAATGACGGCCGAGACGCCCTGGCAGGCCTGCCTGAGACAGTGTTCATCCAGAATGCTCCCTTTCAGCAATGTCAGCTTCACCTTCCCCTGCAGCTCTGTGTGGACAGGGGGCGGGTCATTGCAAGGCTCTCTGCGCCCGGCCAGGAGTGTCCTGATAGTGGTAGCATGTCCCTCAGGTCTTCAGGGCACCACTGGGGAGGGCGGGAGGAAGCACATTCTGTGGAAGGCTCAGAAAGCAGAAGGGTCGCCTTTTTGAAAGGAGCAGAGATCTGCTTCCACCGCCTCCCCTTCCAAGAATTTGAGCCACAGGGAATGGAGAGTGCCTGGAGCATAACATTGTCCAAGAGAGTTGTGTGGAGTTCAGCGTGGTTTTTTTGGGGGGGGTAGGTATGGATATAAGAGGGAAGAACTTGAATTTAACTCTGCAGGGAATGAGGAATCATGTGTGGATTTGGAATAAGAGGAGAAACATAAAAAATTGTGCTGTGGGAAGGTAGCCTGGCCGCCACGTAGGACGCGGATTGGAATGGGGGTGTAAGAGAAAACGAGGCCAAAAAGGAGATTAATCGAATTCCATAGACAGTTCAGGCGAGGAGGGCTTGAAGCAGGGTGTCAGGGGGAGCAGGAAGGGGGAGCACATCTGGCTGGCCACGCTCTAGCGGCAGCCTCCTTGCCAGTGTCCCTGGCAAATAGTGCTGAGAGTGAAGGCAGCACAGTGTCTGCAGAAGCCAGAGATGGGGAGGAGCAGTGATGGGTGGGTGCTGCACCTCCCCCTGCAGTGACCCTCAGGGCTAATGGCTGTTGCCATGGTCCCTGAGGTCCGGCGTGGGCAAGGAACCATGCGCGCAGGGGGAGAACAGCAAACTCCCTAAGATGCAGAGAAGCCGAATGCCTGCCAAGAGATAACGACCACCAGAAGCTGCCACAAAGATGATTAAAAGAAATGCTGACCACCTGGAACCTTATCTCTCTTTCTCAAGGCCCACAAACTTTATTCTGCTACAACTGTCTCTCTAAAATCTTTCCTTTTTCTGGTCATTGATTGCTAATTAAAAAGCATACGTAATTTAATAATTAGGCTAATGCAAATGAAACATTACTAAACACTGTGTTATAATAGAATTGTAGTTTAATAATCTTTCTATTATGTGCTTAACTTTAGTACCTTTGATATTAACTACATTATAATATAAATTTACCTATGACAATTAATTATGAGTAAACATAAGTAGGTAATAGTAGTAGTAATTAGTACAAGAATATAGAAAGTTAATAGCCTGTCTACTTAGGAATGCAGCTAGGTCCAGATGTATTTTGGACATAAATCACTGCCCTGTCAATGATAAGCTAAACCTATGAACAAACTGATTTCTTTGATGTTCACTGTTCCTATGCCTTTAGAAAAAACATATATATACTGACCACTAACAAAAATAAAGTCACACTCAGATTTACACTCTCTCTTGAAGTGTGTCTGTTTGTCATTTCTTTAACCGAATCCCTGACCACCCTGCGCAGTCTCTCAACCCTGAGACGGCCTCATTGTCTACTGCTGTGCTGGTCCGCGGCAGGTGGGGCTCTGGACACTGGGGGGTGTTCCCAGGATCTCTGGGGTGCCAGGGCCTGCAGGTACACCCCACTGCTGGGGAGGGGGCAGGGCATTGGTTTGGGGACACATGGGGGGAATGGGAGAGAATGAAGACTTGGTCCCCGTCTCATCCGAGCTTGGGTCCCATTTGTCAGAGGACTCAGCAGGTTGCTTTACTTTTGCAACCTGGTCCTATCTTCCCCATGGGGGTGAGGCCAACCTTTGTATTCAACCCACTATAAACCCAACCTTTGTATTCACCATGGGGGCAGGCTCTGGGGAAAGACCAAAGAGGGGCTCAGTAGGCTCTGCAGCCTCTTCCCTGTGGCGACGCAGAACAGGGACCTGAGGTTGAAGAGATGGGCTGTAGACCAGCAATGCATGTCACCCTCTGGCCTCTGGCTCCTTTGCCATGCCAGCTTCCACCCATCCTGTCTCTCTCTCTGTCTCTCTCTGTCTCTCTCTCTCTCTCTCTCTGTCTCTCTCTCTCTCTCTCTCACACACACACACACACACATATGCAGGCACGTGCGCACACACACACACACACACACACAGAGGCACAAGCACACACTTAGCCCTATATCCCTTTATCTTACTTTTACCGAAGTAAAGGAAGACTCAGAAGACCGGGCACTTGGGACAAGGTCTCCAGTTGCTTTCGCAAATGTCACACAGCAATTGCCCCATCAAAAATCTTCATGATATGGGAGGATTTTTGCTAAGGAGAGAACTGGTTTTCCAGATCAAAAGAAAAGAGGCCTGCAGTCCAAGGTGGCTGACTGCAGCCTTCTCTCTAGCTCCAGGGCCCAAATCCAGGCTCCTGACTGCCAGCCCAGTACCCTTTACACAACAGCACTGTGATTTCTTCTCTGCTGACTCTGGACACGACATCAGCCTTGATTCAGCAGCCACTTTATTTAATTTGATAGACAGGTTCCCCCATCCCCTCCCACCACCACCACCACCACACACTGACACGGAGAGCTTAAGAGGGACTAAATTTCACTTACTAGAAATTTCCTCCTGGATTTCTGGTTTGAAGACTTTGTCCAGTAACCTGATCTCCTGCAGTTCCTTCTCCTCCACCAACAAGCGGACGATCCTGAGACCCAAAAACCCTCCTGCTCCTGTCACAAGGCATTTCCATCCAGTCATGGCCAAATCTTGGTGTCAAAAAAACACTCGCCAGGCGCCTGAGATCGCTGGGGAGCAGACTGGATTAGAGGTGGCCCTTGGGAGGGTAGAAAAGAGCTCTTGAATGGTTACAGACTCACACACCCCATTCCCTTCACTCCACTTTGGCAAAATCCCCTGCTTTCCCCTCTAATACCCCAGCACCCCCTAATAATGGAAAGAGAGTAGAAGAAAGCTCTAACCTGGTAGATCGTTGCAAGCTAGACTTGAGCGTCTGGGTTCCAGTCCCTTATCTCCCAAAGGCAGGACTGGAGATTTATATGCTGTAGCCTCTGACTCAGCCTCTTTTCCTTGAAATAGTATTACATACCTATTGTTGACTCCTCCTCCAGCACTCTCCGCCCCCCAAGAGTGGTGACCTGCAGTTTCTATCTCTCCTTCTTCCAAGGCACAGCAAGACAAAGGGACCCTCAAGGCCACAGCAAGATAAAGAGTGGTGTCTAGTTTCAACCACGTCAGCTGTGGGATCCACGATCTGTGAGCTAGGACAAGACGAGGAGACTTCTCCCAGCGCAACGTGAATTTTTATGTGGCACGCTAAGTGGATCTGGGCTGGGAGGCCAGGTCTACTTTAACTCATCCTCTCCTCTCCTGAAGCCTTGCTTGAAATGTCATCTTGCAATGTTTAGAAATTTGCAGAGGTCGCAGCTCCACGTTTGAAGCTGAGTTTCATGGTGACTGCCTTCCCCACCCAGCATACCTAGAAGCTCAATTATTTATTTATTTATTTTTAATTAATTAATCATTATTTTTTTTAATAGAGGCATGCTTTATTTATTTGTTTGCTGGTTTGTTTGTTTGTTTTGTTTATACAAGCACTGGGTACAGTCAGAAGCGCGGGAGGGTGAGAGAATTCACCAGAACCAGAGCGGGGAGCAGAGCAGGCAGAAGGACCGAAGTACACTGCTGAGGGGAGCAGCGGGCGGCAGGAGAGGTCTGCGCGCCATGTGGGACCCTCCTCCGGTGGCCGGGGAGCAGCCGGGGATCGAACAGGCGCCGCAGAGGCCACGGGCAGCTTCCCAACCTAGCGCTCAACTGCTGCGCCACCGGGGAGGTCCTAGAAGCTCAATTTTTATTTCTTTCCCTCTGCTCAAGTCATGGACATTCTCCTCTTGCCACTTGGGATCTGATTCCCAGTGCCTCAAACACACTGTCTTCGGAAAGGTGGACCCTAGTCAGTCCCCCGAGTTGCAGTTTGTTCTGTGCACTTAGCAGCTTTAGATGAAGCTCCCCGGGCTCTCTGTGGCAGAGTCTTCTCTGAGGCCCCCAAGGTGTATCACGCCCCCCCTACCTGCCATAGTGGTGCTGAACATGAGCCATACATGCCCCCCCTCCCCCGCTGTGGGGTTGAGAATATTAGTGGCAGATTAATATCAGCTAAACTTTCCTGGAATTGCCTCCAGCCTAAGAGTCAAAGAGCAAGGTTCAGTCTTTAAGAAGATAACATCATATAGAAACAGAAATACAGTAAGTGGGTGGCTGGGGGCCACACTATTACTCTTTGTTATGCCAAACCATTTTACTGAGGTATGATTTTTATGATTTTTATGCCACAAATGTCACTTAAGTGTATAGTCCAACTATTTTTAGCAAAATTAGGACTTGTGAAACCATCCCCACAGATCCATTGTAGCCCATTTCTATCAACCCCATAAGATCCCAAGTGCCCCCCAGCAAGCAGTGCTTATTCCCACCCCGGGCACAATTTCCGGAACCTTTAATTGACTTTCTAACGAACTGATTTGCCTTTTCTAGACATCATACAGATGTAATAGTCGCTATGTGGTCTTTTGCGTCTATATTCTTTCATTTAATATACTTTCCATACTTGTGTCGGTATTTTCATTCCTTTTGGGAACTGAATACTATTCCCTTATATGGATATACCACATCTTTGATTATTCATGCATTAGTTGACGGCAGTGAGGTGTTTCCTCTTTTTGTTCTTACAGATAAAGCTACTCTGCATATTTGCAGCCAGCGTTTTTGATTTACATTTCCTAAATGACTGATTATATGCAACATCTTTTCATGTCCCTTGATCGTCCTGTGGTGCTAATGGGGTGCCCTGGGTTGTCCCTCTCAGGTGCATGAGGCCAAGTGGCGACCTGTGCCCCCTCCCCTCGGGGTCACCTGCTCTTGGCACTTCGGAGGCGCCTGTTTTTTGGGGGGTCGAGCTTGGTTTAGAAGAGAGGGGCCTGCAGGGCCGCCTCCCTGCTAGTTTGGAGGGGGGGCGGGGGCCTCGCCCTGGTGGGCGCACTATCCGCGGGGTCCCCACCAGCTCGGCTTGGCGAGCGCACGTCCAGTGCCTGGCCCTCCCTTTGGAGGGGGGCTGCACGTGGGCGTGCGCGCCACCCTGGCGGCCGTTGTTCCAGCCACCTCCTCCTACTTTGGAGGGGCCTGGGCGGTGCTGGGGTTTTGGGGGGCTCCTTGTGAGCCTCTTTCCCGGGGCTAGCCACCCACCCGGCCATGCACGCTCAGGTTGCCCTTGTGCCTTGGCCATACCGCAGGCTACTCCCCACCTCCGTGCCCCCGACTCCGTGGGGTGGTGCGTGTTGGCTTCCCGGGGTCCCGAGGAGGAGAAAAAGGGGGTCTTGCCTTGTCGGTGAGGCCGGGAGCTCCCGGTGAGAACCCCTTCTCTAGCGATCTTCAGGAAAGTTGGGCAAAAGAGGGGTTCAGCCGCGTTCTGTTGGGGTACCCGGACTCCCCTCCCCCTTCTGCGCCCAAGTGGCCACTTGGTGGCAGAGTCGCCCCCTCAACTCCTCCACCTGGGTGTGGGGGGAGTTGAGGGTGTTCCTTCCCCTTCCCTGCGATGTGGGGGAGGGGTTGCACCCCCGAGGGCCTCCAGCCACCCGGCCTCCGTCTCTTCTGCCGTGGGGCGCGTGGCTCTGTGTTGGGGTGTCATACCAGGCGCGTGTTGCTAAGGGCGTGTGCGCACGGTTTTGTGGGGGGCGGGGTGCATTTACCAGCCCCCCCCAGGCCCCGCACCCGAGCACCCCGACTTCCCTCGTCCCCGCTCCCCAAGACCCGGGCCTAGCCCTGCGCACCTGATGGACGGGAAGCAGATGGACGTGTCTTTTATTTCTTTTAACTGTAGCTGCAGGATTTAGTGCACAGCTCTGTTCCCGCCTTTGTTAAGTTTATTCCCAGGAACGTCAGTGTTATGGTGCAATTATGTATGGGATTGATTTCTTCAATTTTTTCTTCTAATGTATTATTTGCATATAAAAATGCAACCAATTTTTGAATATTGATTTTGTATCCTGCCTCTCCTGTATTCATTTGTTATTTCTAGTACTTTGTTGTGGTGTTAAGGTTTTCTCTGTGTATTTCTTGTGCAGAAAATAACTGTAATAGGATTAATGTGCAACAGACAGAGAGAGAGAAGAGAGAAAGGGTAATAGTTTACAATTAAGCACTCAAAGTCACCCGTCCCCTTGTGGGTAAATGCACAGCCAAACAGGGTTGACACCATCTGCAAACAGGGATAGTTTTATTTCTTCTTTTGCAGTTTGGATTCCTTTTATGTCTTTTTTCTTGCCTGGTTGCTCTGGCTTGAACTTCTAAGTCTATGCTGAATAGCAGTGGTGAAAGTGGCCATCCTATTCCTGATCATAGGGGGAATGCTTTCAGTTTCTTACAATGAAGTATAAACTGTGGGATTGTCATAGATGACTTTATTGGGTTGAGGTATGTCCCCTTTACTCCCAATTTCATGAGAGATTTTATCACAATGGCTGTTGAATCTTGTCAAATGCTTTTTCAGCCTCTCTTGAAATGATCATGTGATTTTTATTCTTTTTGTTGGCCTGGTGAATCACATTAATTTGTATTCCTGGAGTGTATCCCACTTGGTCATGATGAATGATTCTCTTACTGTATTGCTGGGTTGGATTTGCTCAACTCAAGCTGACTTATCTTGTTGCTTTCAAAACCCTGCTCTTTGAAACAGTCCAGCGTGCATGTATACACAGTCCTCTAGCTGTGCCCATATACAAACCACTAAAGCCACTGGTCGTTCATCTACTGTCCAGGCAAACTTGGAGGACATTCCTATCTTTCTATATGGGAAAAAATGGTACAAGATTTGACTTTTTTTTGTAATTAAACAAGGCATATTCTTGTACTATATGCTATTTTCAGCACTAAGAGGTGACCTTGTGTTAGGCAGGTGGTAGGAACTGGTAAGTCTTGGGAAGCTCTGTGGTGCTGGATATTAACTCAGACTAAGGCACCAGTTATCATGAAGTAGGAAGTAGCATTTTCTCCACTGGAAATGTGATTCTGTTCACTCAGCCACTCTTCAGTACTTGGCTGCCCCTATCTCTAGGGACAGATGCATACTTTAGATTAAAAAAGGTTTCATCACTAATAAATCCTCTAGGCTAACAACCCTCCAGGCTAATATCATGGAATCCATCAAGATACAGCAAGAGGTCACAGGTACCAGGAATTCAAGATATGGACTCACCTAATGGAAGAAGGGATGCTAGCCCTTTAATTATTCTGGGTTAAAACTACCCAAATAGGCCATCCACCATTTCTCAGAAAATAGGGTTAGTAGGCGAAATGAAGGGCATCCTGGGTCAAGCCCGCACACTCTAAATGGGTTCTGCCACCTGCCCCATGAAGACAAAACATCACTCATAGTGCATAAGGGCCTTCTACAGAAAATAACTTTGTAGGATTAATGACAACAGGGAGAGAGAGAGAAGAGAGCACCCAAAGTCACCCATGCCCTGGTGGGTGAACACCCAGCCAGACAGGGTTGGCCCAAAGTGGGGCCACTGAGACCCAAAAGCCTGCCCCAAGTCCAAGGCACCTTCTGGTGGGGACCCCTACAGGAAAGGGACAGTAGGGGCTTGGCACTTCCAGAAGGAAAGCAGCAAAATCAGAGCACAAGTCAAGATAAAGGCTGCCATGGTCAGCCTCCCCACGGGCCTCTCACCCACGCATCTTCTGTGTGTCTCCTTCCATGTCCCCCAATCTCTGATGCTAGTCCCAGGCCGAGAAGCAAGCGTGGCTTCTTCTTCACATGTCTCTGCTTCACATGCTTCCTCCAGGTCCTCCAAGTTTCCTCCTTGGTCTTTTGTTCCACGTTCTTTTCAGCTTCCTCTCAAGTCACTCAGCCCCCTTCAGTAAACAGGTGGGGCCGGGAGCATGGAGCGTCCCTTTTCAGGTGACTGTTCCAGTCACAGACAGGCCTTGCCCCCATGTTGCCTCCCTGAGACTGAGCTGCACAAGCTTTACTGCAGCCTTGCTCAATGCCTGCAGGTGAATCTCCATTATTTCTATTTCTGGGAAATCTCTAGGCTCCAGAATCTGGTAACAGCCTCTTCTCTTTGTATCTACAGGTACATAAACATGGTCAAGATATTCTCTTCTTGTGTCGTGGGACCCATTCCACACTCAAATTCTCTCAAGCAGTAATGACAAAGTACTGATTTATCTGAGGAAGATTTAAGGCAAGTTCTAGATTTTTCCAAAGGCACGGTGATCTCCCCCCACACACACACTTTATTGCTACATATCTTTATATTTAGAGTATGTCACAGTAGGACTGGTGAAAAAAAGCAAACAGGGGCCTCTCGTGGTGGGAGGGATTAAGCGTCAACATTATGAAGCTATCAGCAGCCACTGAAGCATGAGTTCGATCCCTGGCAGGAGAAACCCACATGGCACAGCAGACCTCTCCTGTCTGCCCACTGCTCCCCTCAGCCATGTATTTCAGTCAATCTACCTGTTCTGTTTCCCACTCTGTCTCTGGTGAATCCTCTCACCCCCCCACCATCTCTGGCCTTCACCCCAGCTCTGGTATGCATAAATAAATACATCTTTTAAAAAAAAGCAAACAATAAACATTTTTCTTTGCAAATTTATAAAGCTGGGATTTAAAAAATGTCCCATTTAAGTGATTGCAAAATATGTGGTTACTTTTTAAAGTTGGATGAGCTCCAACCTTTGTATAGGCTAAAATAAACCTATAAAATGTTTCTCAAATTACTTTCACAGTATCAGATATCAGGTATCTGTAAAGAAAGTATGCAATCATTCAAAATATATGTAAACAAAGAAAAAATTATGAAATATTACATGCAATTTCTGGGCCTCCTTGGTGGCGCAAGGGGTTAAGACACAGCCAATAAAGGGAGCAACCCACATGGTGCAGCAGAACTCGTCTGACTCACCCTGCCCACTGCTCCCCTCAGCATTGTGCTTCGGTCAGTCCGCCTATTCTGTTTCCCACTCTGTCTCTGGTGAATCCTCTCACCCCCCGCACCTCTGGCCTGTACCCCAGTTCTGGTATGCATAGATAGATAAATCTTTTTTTAAAAAAAGAAATATTACATGCAATTTCTTAAGATCTTTTTGTAACTCACTCACAATAAAATAACCAAGTGGTGTTACGAAAGGGCTGTCTTGCTGTAAGAACAATGTACACTCACTATTCTGTTGGATAATAATGGCAATCAATTAAATATAAAAAAAGGCTGTAATCTATTGTTTTCCATCATACTTGATAAATACAAGGTGAAAAAAAAAAACAAGCTGTGCTTTTCACAAGATAATAAAAGAGTTAAATAGTTTTTCATATGGAGTGGTGGGTCAGTGGTACAAATCTACTCAAAACATCGAAAAATGTAGCAATCATTCCCAACAGTCACAACTAAGCTCTGCCAAGGCTTCCAGAAAGAGCAGACAGAAAGCCTCTAAACTAAATACCTACTAAGTGGTGGCAATGAAACTAGAACCAATGTGAAACTTTGGTGTTCAAGTTTGCTATTTTTTCTCCCAGACATATATAATTTTGTTTAAAAAGCAACCAAGAAAGCTGAGGGTTACTAATAAGGCATATTCTTGGCAGCATATTGGACTTAACAAGGCGGTGGCTGGCTGCTTTAAGGCATGTGGGTTAATAATTGGCTCTTTTGGGACAACTCAAAAAAGGCTAAGGTTTGGCAAAGGAATAGAAGGCAAGATGTTCTGCTCTCCCGTTGGCGCTGATCGGGGGTTAGGCCAGCACTGGCCCACCTTCTGGGGACACGAGCCTCCTTGATTCTATTTCTTACATCCTGTGAGCCCACGAAAGAAGCTGTCAGTGGAAGACCCCGGCTGCTGGCTTCATAGGAGCCGGGTGGGGATGTCAGTTGCCCAGGACCTGGCGTACTTGGGGCTCTTCCTTCTTAGGGGAGTGACGTCACTGGCTCATGGGGAGCCCTCCACAGCACAGGCCCTCAGCCTGGGATAAGGGCAATTCTTCCTTGGCTAGCTTGTTACTATCACTTTGAGCTGCTTGTGCTCCTTGAACCATAGTCCTGAAAGGTAAACTTGGGACACAGAAGCATACATCAATTTTGAAAGTCTCAGGACTAGATGAAATACTGTAGGGGGAGAGCTTTCATGGATAAAAGAAAAAGTCCCAGGACTGAATCCTGGGCAAACAGAACAGCATTAGGGGCTGAGCAGAGCCAGAGGTGTCAGCTAAGGGGACCGAGTGGCAGTGGTGTGTGGGGCAGGAAGAAAACCAGGAGGAAAGTCAAGTGAAGAAGGCACTTCCAGAAGGAAGGTGGTCATCCTTTGGATGATCTGAGGCCTCAGCTGTGATGAGTTTCTTGGGTCCTATACCATGGCTTTGGCTCTTGCTGAAAAGTGTCCAGCCAAGGCTTGTCTTGCCTGCTGGCTTACGATACGAGTGACCCACTCAGCTTCATTTTGGCCTAAGTCGTTGTTTTCCCTCTGAGCCTGCTTGATCTGGCTTTGCATTTTTGGATGAATGCGTCTAATCTGTATTTACTCAAGGTCTTCCAGATGTCACTAGGCTTTGATAAGATACCGGCAAGCTTGATCAAATTCTCCATGCAGGTGCAGATGAAAAATAAACCTGTAAGTTCACTGGAACAGGCACTGGGGATTGGGTCAGGGTGATTTGTTAAGCAGGGTTAATTCGAGGACAATCTTACCTCACTGGGGAGGTGGAATGTAAGCTCTACTAAAAATGCCAAGAGCCACGCATGGGAAGAAGTTGGGGGGAGGACATTTTATCCTATGTCAAGGGAACAGTATATCTGGGAGCCCAGAGGCAAGAAAAAGTTGTGCTTGTTTAAGGAATGGGAAGGAGGCAATATGGCTGGGACACAGTGATTAAAGGGGTGAGTGTTGAAGCAATGGGCTGGACGGATCCAGAATTAGATAATGCAATGCCCTGGAGAGATGGTGATCCGTATAGAATTTATCCAAAATAGAATGGGAAGGCACAGAAACACCTTAAGCAGGGGAGATACAGCATTTGTTTATGATTTTAGAAAGCTCTGTGGCTGTTGTATAGAGAATGTACAGGAGCAGGAGCGAACACAGGGGAGACATCTCCGAGGCTATTTATATTGAGGACACTGAATTTCATCCTCAAACTTCCTGACGTTTTCAAATGTAAGATCTTAATCAGTTGGGTGCCCCAACTCTAGAAATCTGAGTTAGTCAGGGAACTGGAAAGTTTTTATCCTGGTAAGGCATCTGTTTATTTTTTGCATCTGTCCATTCATCCATTTATTTTAGTTGGTCCATCCATCCATCCCACAGGTGTTCACTGAGAGGCTGCTACGTGCCAAGCTCAGTACCAAGTATACAGCTTACAGTCTACTATGGAGAGAGCTATGTAAATAAATAAATAGAACACACTATAATAAGGGCTGTAACCATGCAATGTGCAAAGCACCCCAGGAAGTGCTGAGCACGTAGCTGGGGGAAGAACAGGTGACACCAGAAAAAGGCCTTGAAGAAGAGAAAGACTTTCCCAAACAATAACAACAAAGGGTACTTTTTTTTAAGCCTTTACTAGGGCTAAGCATTGTTCTCTGAACCTCACGTGCATTATCTCACGAAGTCTTTCTCCCAACCTAGCAGGCTAAGTGGCAAAATCTCCATTTAATAGAGGAAGTCACAGAAACGGAGACTGAAACTTTCCCTAGCTGCACAGTGCACGGCAGCCATCCCGGCTGTCAAACCCGTCTGTGTGGCACCAAAGCCCATGTTCCTGGCCTTATTATTTCCCATCATCTATAGACAGCAGCATGATTTTTGTCGGGGAATATTTTACCCACATAGCTCTTCTGTCCAGAGTGCATATCTCCATAGTTGTTTTGTAGAGATGGAAAAAATGTGTAAAATGTAAGCCACTATCTGCTTCAGTCATTCCTGATTGGCCCTTGTAAGATATTTTCATTCAGTGGAGGATTTCTTGCAGGAGAACAGCACAGAAAAGGCAGAGAGATAAAGAAATGTGTGTGCATTTGAGCAAGATGAGGACCTTGGGGCTGGAAGCTTAAGGATGGAGGGTGCGGGGCTGAGGCAGGGACGATGGGACACAGGTGGGATGGCATCAAGCCAGGCCACGAGACGTCTTCCTCCTCTGGGCAACCTCGCAGTGCCGTCTCCACTCTTGTGCTCACAACCTGGAGAATTGGATCAGGTCCTGGTTGATCTCAGCGATAGTCCTGCAGCCTAAAAGAACAACACAGCAAAGAGCTTATTTCTCCAAAACACCAGCAACATCCCTGTGATAGGTAGGGGGTGACCCCATGAAAACAAGCCTGATTCAATGCTTGTGCTCAGTCTGAGGGAATATTACATGTGGGGGTGGATACTAGCATTGGGATTGCACAGGAGTTATCCAGGGGGTCTGTGCCTCTGCCTTCCTGTAACACAGTCATGTCAGGAGAGCATGGTAAAATGCTAAAGTTGTGATTTTCACGTATTATATCAGTTTGTTTGTGCTCCGAATACACTTGATCTTGATCTTGATCTCAGTCCTCAAATGGTTTAAGGATGTACAGTTGCCGTCAGGGAGGACAGCAACTTCACTCAGCAACTGCGTTCTAGGGGGAAATTCTAGAAAACAACACCCTTTTTTGTCTTAGTGGAGGATTTTTTTTTTTTAAAGATTTATCTTATTTTATGCATGCAAGAGCTGGGGCACAGGCCAGAGGTGTGGGGGGTCAGTGAGAGGATTCACCAGAGACAGAGCAGGGAACAGAACAGGCAGATCTACTGAAATCCACTGCTGAGGGGAGCAGCAGGGAGACAGGAGAGGTCTGCTGCGCCATGTGGGTAGCTCCCTGGCTAGCCAGGGGATCAAACTCCGTGCTGCAGAAGCTGCGGACAGCTTCATAGGTTGCGTCTTAACCCCTTGCGCCCCCAGGGAGGCCCTAGTGGAGGATCTTAATTAAAATGCCAAAATTAGGTCTGTAGCTGAGCTTAGACACAAGATTGAGGAGAATTAGTGCAGCTAAGAAGTCAAAAGAGAAAAGTGAGAGGGAGCATCTAGTGAGATGGTTTGGGCTAGAGGACTGGGGGCTCTGCGGAGAATTCCTGGTGGTGAGACGGTATAGGAAGACTCGAATAGGATCACACCATTTAGCTGGGGCTCTGTGCCCTGAGCACCTTCGCCTCCCAAAACACAACACAAGCAAGTTGCATCACTCACAAAAATGTCGTCAACAAGAGGGGTTTTTCCCAACAATGGAAGCAGGAAAGGGTTGCTGGTAAGAGCAAGGGAAGCAGAAGCCAACTGGACTCCTTCAGCAGAATCAGGGACACGGCACCCCAGAACTGGCAGCGATCTAGAGGACTGTGGACTTCTCCAGGGGAGAGGATAGAGGGGCTTCGACCCAGGCAGACCCCCTGCGTTTCGTTTAAACTGTAAAAAATGTCTCGACAGCTGCTTCAGTGGCTTGTGGCTCCATCTTGGACAGTATGAGGCTTCTGTTCACTTGAGTCTGATGATGTTTGGGTGCCTTTGCTATTTGCCAGTGCGAGCTCTCAGCAGCCTGATTTCTGGGTCCCAGCCAGCACCAAGAACATCACTTTGCACTTGGGGGAGGCTCAGTAAAAACTCGACAGAGAATAATTACATAAAAAGCATAATTACATGACACAGCTCTGTAATAATTATATAGCCCAAACTAAGCGTGCTTATAATTTATTGCTACTTTCTCATTACTGCAAGTGAGGGGGATATTTATACTCAGCTGTTCTGTTGGATGCAGTGTGAAGTGGGTAATTCCCAGCAGGAACCCCCGAGAGGATGCAAGAGGCCTTGGGGAGGTCTGTGCAAGCTCGTGTGGGTGTCATTAATGTCATTCCAAGTGACATAGTAGTTTGCAAGATAAACCATAATCTTAACTCTCCCAGATAAGTAATTTTGGCTGCTGGCCTCACAGTTACAAAAACTTAACTTTTAAACTTATTTGCAGCAATGGCACAAATAGGGTCCTTCTACCAGGGCTGTGATGTCACAGGGTCAAAAGGGGAAAATGCCACCTATCTGGGGAACAGAAGGCAGGCAGGCCGAGGCCTAACCTCCAGGGCTCCGGTCTGTGTTAGGTGACTTATCGATACATGCCGTGTGCAGGGAAGGGGGGTGATTTTGTATGTTAGTGAGTCCTGCCAAGAGCACGGCCCCCACCTGGGCTCTCCTCTGCCAGGGGCACTCCTCCAGGGGGGAAACTCACAGAGGTGCTGACGGAGCCCTTCTCCTGGGCTCCCACACTTCCATTTCCCACATCCTCTTCTCTGTCCCCGCTTGGCTGTTTTTGCGCTCTCTTTATTTATTATTTTTTTAAAGATTTATTTATTTATACAAGAGCTGGGGTACAGGCCAGAGGCGTGGGAGGGTGAGAGAATCCACCAGAAACAGAACAGGCAGACAGACCGAGGTACACTGCTGAGGGGAGCAGCGGGCGAGACAGGAGAGGTCTGCCGTGCCATGTGGGTATCTCCCTGGCTGGCTGGGAATCGAACCGGTGCCATGGAGGCTGCGGGCAGCTTCAGAGCACGGTACTGAACCTGCTGCGCCACCGGGGAAGCCCCACTCTCTCTTTAAAACAGAACATTCTCACTGAGAACAATTAGGAGGCGGAGAATGAGCCGTCCCAGGGTCCAGCTCCTTTTCTTTCTTTCCCCCACGCCCTTCGCCTCTCGGGACAGCGGCCTCTCCCCCTTCCCTCTGGGGATAAGCACTTCCAGACACCCCTCCCACCCCAGAGACTGTTAAGGGAAACGTTTGGTGGAATGAAAGGGCTCTGACTCCCCCTCAATGTCTTCTGGTTTAAGAAGTTCAGTGTCCTTGCGCGCTGTGGGAGAGGATAACTCTGGGGCCAGGGGAAGTCAGCCCAGAAGCCCAGAGTCTCTCCTCTCGCCTCCCCAGGAGCAGCAGAGGCTGGTGCGGTGCCTCTGCCCACCTGCGCCCCACCCTCTTGCCACCCTCCGGGGACAGCGGGCCATTCCTCGGCTCGCGTTCTCAGCCCTGCGGTGTGACTGGCTGCAGCTGGCCGCCGGGTGCCCGAGGCCTTGACCTGTCCCCGCTCTCCCTATGACTCTGCTCCGTGGAAAGAGGCTGGAGTCGCGGGGCTGTGCTCAGATACCTGATGCCACTCAAGCCACGAAGCTTGGGTTTTCACCCCAGAGGGCACAACGGTGGCTTGGACCCTGGGGCCAAGATGCTTTGTGAACATCAGCCCAAAAGCAGACTTGGGAAGACCTGGCTGCCTTGCCTCATGCCCGGCCCAGAGGGCACTTGGGGGCACTGGCACCTGGGCAGGGCTCATGGCCTCTGTGCAGGCAAGTTGGTGACGTGACAGCGGCCACGATTCATTATTTCCTCCCTTCTGGAGAAGGCGTCTGCTTGCACCAGATTTTAGAATCGGAGAGGGGGTAGACGTCTTATTGGGGCTCACCTTGCTGTCCTGTCGCGTTGCCCTCCATGACCGCTGACAGCAAGCTCGGTGGCCAGGGGGCTGCTGGCCACGGGTACTTGGTGGGACAGTCCTTCCCTATGAGAGTGCCCCAGGCACTGAGGACATCAGCGCCCCTGGCTCTGGGGCACCCAATGCCTACAGCACCCACCTGGCAGTCACTGTGCCAATCGGGTAAACCAAAGTGCAAATGTCCTGAGAGCCATTATTTATCAGGTACCCCGGAGTCCTGGCTATGTTCTGATGGGCACCACTTTATGATAACTTCCCCCTTGACGAAATCCACTGCAGGCCACTTTGAGAGACCGGCTACCGTCGTGCTGTTTGAACTTACCTGGCCGGCTCCTACGCGGCCTCTGAAACGTCATTTCTACCTAATTCCTTCCCAGTCCATGGTTATTACTTAAAGACCCCCCCAAGCCCGGTGTGATGAGGGTGGATGGACGTAGAGTGGGGCCACCTGTGAAGTTGCATCTACTTCTCAAATGCAAAGCGGAGCCTCGCACTCTGAGTTTGCGTGGAGTTTCTGGGTGGTTTCTCCCCTTCCCTGCCAGACAGCGGGGGTGGTGTGTGAGGGGGAAGGGGACCCTGGAGGGGACCCCGCCCTGCTCTGCAGAGGCTGCTCTTGCTCAAAATCAGGGAAAGAATTTTTATGACTTACCCGTCAGCGCCATGGACGTGCGGAATTCGTCTTTCAGAATATTCAAAACCTCCTTAACGCCGTGTTCACCCTGTCCCGAGACAGAGGGGGCAACAAAGCCATGAAGGGGTGTGGACGGCGGGGCTGGCTGGTGGCGGGGTGATGCTGGGGTAAAGGAAAGTGGGGGTTGGGGGGATCCCTGCACTGCTCCAGGGAAAGCACAGAGCCCAGAGTCTGGGCCTGAGGTGGCCCACAGACTGACTGCGGGCAGGCTAGGGTGAGGGGTGACCCGGGGCGCCCCGCCGGCTGGCTCACCTTGCAGGCCAGGCCCCACAGCACCGGCCTCCCAATGAAGACGCACTTGGCCCCCAGGGCCAGGGCCTTGAGCACGTCGTTGCCGGAGCGGACCCCGCCGTCCAGGTACACCTCCACCTTCCCCTTCACGGCGGCCAGCACCTCGGGCAGGGCGTCGATCTGAAAAGCAGATGTGGAGGCTGGGAGGCTGGTGCTTTCCATTTGGAAACTCAGGGCACTGGCAGAGAAATGCCCCTTGTCGTGGCCAAACCCGGGAGCCCAAGCTGGGGCCTCACAGTGTCTCCACCTGCTTGAGTGCTCGAGGGGGGCTGGGCCTGACCCCCAGCAGCCCCGTGGGGTGCCCTCTCCCGCCCCTGCTGGGGTCTTGCCCAGGGGTGCAGCTCCCCCTGACTCACACCCCACATCCGCAGCATGGGTGACCCGCCTGGCTCCTCTTCACCCCCAAAAGGGACATTTTCCACCGACGACATTCACTTTGACCATCTTCCTTTTAAAGAACAATTTGACGTTCTCTTCCTGCGTCTGTTTCCAGGACGGCCCAGCCAGATGTTCCTCCCTCGCTAAGTCTTTTTGGTGAAACAGGCTGCTGGGCCCTGAGCGGCACCTGGGGCGCCTGTGTTGTGGGAGGGGCCACAGTTCAGCCCCCACGCTGCAGTTCAGCAGTGTGTCCCTGTTATCTGAGATGTGGGGTGGGAGCCTGGCAACACTGTCAAAGTGAGGCGCAGTCTTTGACGGACAATGCAGAAGCAGCCTGTCGCTGGCCTGGTTTCCTGAAATCTCAAAGATCTCCCTATGCCTGCATCAAAAGGACTTGCCGACACTTCCCCTCCCTTTTGCAGACTTTTGCCCAGGTTCCCCTTTTATCCCCCTTTGCATAAACACCCCTGCCCTCTGCCAAAGAGCAGGACGGGGCCTTTCAGACACAAGTCCACCGCCCTCCTCATTTGTCGACAAATTAAACTACTTTCCTTCTCTTCAAACCGTTCCCTTTTATTGGCTGAGGGAAACTGAGGCTGGCGATCCATATCAAGCCTGTCGGGGGTAAGGGGTGCATTTACTGTGGTTCTCTGAAAGAACTGGCTTGAAGAACTGGCTTGAACTGGGGCAGTCAAGCTTCTTGTTTCACACCCCAACTATGTAAAGTTTGCTTTTTTTTTTTTTTTTAATAGCTTGGCACTTACTAGGCTGTTGATAATGATTATAAAAGTTCCTAGATTACTTTTTTTTAAGATTATTTATCTATACAAGAACCAGGGTACAGGCTAGAATGCATGGGAGGGTGAGAGGATTCACCAGAGACAGAGTGGGGAACAGAACAGGCAGACTGACGAAATACACTGCTGAGGGGAGCAGCAGGTGTGACACCATGTGGGACCCTCCCTGACTGGCCAGGATCGAACCGGCGCTGCACAGGCTGATTACAGCTTCATAGCACGGCGCTCAACCGCCCGCGCCACCCAGGGAGGCCCAAGTTCCTAGAATTCACAACGGATACCAACGAAAGCAGATAAGGAGGAGCGTGTGCCCAGATTGCAGAGTGCCAGTCATAGCCACACCCGCTTACAGCACCCACATAGCCCTTTGAAGTTCTCCTACTCACAGAAGCAGGGACCTCATCAAGCTGCCTCCCTCCGTGGTTGGAGACAATGATGCCATGAACATTGTGTTTCACAGCCAGCTCTGCATCCTCTTTTGTCAGGATCCCTTTCAGGATGACAGGCAGCTGCGTTAAGCTCCGAAACCAGGACAGATCTTCCCAGCAGATGGAGGCGTCGATGGGGGTCATCTTGAGATTAGGCATTGACATTCTCTGCTGGGAATAAAAGAGAAACTTAGGGGCCTCCCTGGTGGCACAAGGGGTTAAGAGTCTCAGCACTATCACGCTATCTCCAGCCACTGTGACATGAATTCGATCCCCATCCAGGGAGCTGACCCACATGGCGCAGCAGACCTCTCCTGTCTCCCTGCTGCTCCCCTTAGCAGTGCATTTCAGTCAGTCTGCCTGTTCTGTTCCCCGCTCTGTCTCTGGTGAATCCTCTCACCCCCCTGCACCTCTGGCTCACACCCCAGTTCTTGCATGCATGCATAAATAAAAATAAATCTTTTTTAAAAGAGAGAGAGAAAAACTTAGTCCTGCACTCCTTTGAGACTGTTTGATCCACCCCAAACAGGAAACGCATCTGGAGAGCGGACACACAAAATCCAGCGGTGCTCATCCTCCCTCCTTTTCTGACAAAATTTGTGTAGAAGTGTCTACTTCCATTGCTTGCTTGTTAACCAAAATCGTGTCCCCACTCAGTAATTGGAGGATTGGAGACACAAAGACAGCTAAGACACAATCCCTATTTTATTTTTTTAAAGAATGATTTATTTATGTATACAAGAGCTGGGGCACAGGCCAGAGGCGTGGGGGGTGGGAGGATCCACCAGAGGCAGAGTGGGGAACAGAACAGGCAGACCTACTGAAATGCACTGCTGAGGGGAGCAGCGGGTGGGGCAGGAGAGGTCTGCTGCACCATGTGGGTTGCTCCCTGCCTGGGAGTCCAACTCGTGGTGCAGAGGCTGCAGATAGATTCATAGGTTGCATCTTAAGCCCTTGCGCCACCAGGGAGGCCCCCTACAATCCCTATTTTAAAAGAGCTAAGAGTTTTGTGACTTTGAAAGAAAAGGCTTCATGGGCCAGTGTCATGTCATGTTTGTGATATGCTCATGGCAATAAGAACTAAGGGACACCTCAATAATCTGAAATAAGACAGAGCCCAATATTTACCCTTGCATCTCCCTATGTATCAAATATCCATAAATCGCAATGAGTGTTTGCAAGCTGAGATAAGGATGCCAGAAATGTGCAGGGCCCATGTTGGGGCCATGAGTAGACTCGTTGAGTTATTGGACTGGATGGCACAGCTGCCTTTGGTGGAAAAGGCTGGTGTAACTATTTCTCTTGTAGCCAAGGGATTCCAATTTCACTACCACTTTCTTTCTTGGGGGCGTAATGTCCCATTGGACTGTAAGGTTTTAATGGGGACCTGTGTATTTAGAGATTCCCTATTAAGTGTGCTGTAGCACCCTGGGCCTTCTAGATGAGGACAGATAGTGACGTGGATGGAAAAGATCGTGACCCCTCAGTTCCCAAAGCAGTGGGGTGGAGTCTGGGCTGGCTACACTCCGAAGGCTGTACCATTGGCTGTGAGCACCCTCTCCAGGGGGTCATTTTCCAGGTGAGCCATCCAAGATGATCATTTTCTAGGTGTGCCACAAAATAGAAACCACCAGAAGAACTCGTTTAAGTTACTGTCCTATTCCATGCAAACATCTTTGCCCTCCCTCGCCCTTTCATCGGGTTTCTGATTTCTTGGCCAGAACATTTATGGCGAGAAAGTTTCTTTCTGTTCTGGTTACCTGAAAGCTCTGGGCAGCAAAACCGGACCTGCTCTCCTAGCTGCTGCCTCTCCAGTGCCCAGTACTGAGCAGGTCCCCAACACTTCTTGTGGAGAGAAAGAAGAAGGGGTGGGGATGAACATTGCCTCCTGTCACACCTCCCCTGTGGACGCGGCATCCTTCCTACCTCCTTAAGTGACTGAAGATCCTTCAGCAGTAAATTTGACTTCAAGTCCAGCTGGTTTCGAAGGTCCTGCCGCCTGTTGCCAAGCGTGGGGACATCTACCGTGATCACCAGGGCTTTGAAGCCCAGGGATTCTGCCCTCTGGATCAGACGCTTGTTCAGCTCCCGCTCTGGCTGCACGTAGAGCTGGAACCAACGGAGTCCTCTGGGAGCAGAGGTGACGATGTCTTCCAGGCTACAGCTGGCGTAGGTGCTGGTGATGTAGCAGATGTCGGCTGCTTGGGCAGCTGCAAAGCAAATGTACAGCTCAGGTTGGGGGGCAGGGGTGCTCTGGACTGGGGGGAGCAGCCCTGGAGTCTGCGTTGTCTCTGGCTGGCTCGCTCTGTGAGAAAAATCAATAAAACTTGACTTCATTCTGCTTCCCTGTAGGGCAAAGACAGAAGGTACTTGATCAGACAGGGGGCCCTAAAGCTGACGGGGCTCCCCTTCATAGAACCTGGGTTACAAACCCTGTGCCCCACATTAAAATAGTCCCCAGCACCATCTTGGGCTTGTTGCAGCTCTCAGGCAGAAAAGGCTTCTGCGAACTCGTTAATGAAGCTGAAGGGACTGAAGAGGACAGAGACACGTCATTCCAATGGAGAACTCTGAACTGTGTGGTGGCAAGTGTATCTGAAGTGAGAAGAACTCCAGTTGTGCCACTTGTTAGCTGTGTGCCCCTGAGTCTCATTCCCTGTAAAGTGAGACTAATAATACCTCTTCCAGCATTGCTGTGAAATGAATACCAGAGAGGGAGGCATTTTCAACTTGTGAAATCAAACAGTTGATGATGACAACGATGGTGCTGACACTGGTTCTGCTACATGGTGTGTTTCTCATTTGCTATTTCAATCGTTCCTGGTTGAACTCCCCTGCCGGTTAGTCACAGCCATTCCACAACCCCAAGTGGAGGACTCAGCCAAGTCAAAGTTGCTATTTTCAGTTCCTGATGTCAAGAGGAGAGAACCCATTTCTCACGCCAGCCCCCAACAGTACACCACGCTCAACCAGGAAGATCTGGGACAGTGGTCATAGTCACGTGGGTACTTAACTTTCCACCTAGCCAGACCTGGTTCCTAACCGGATGGATGTCACCTTCAGCCTAGAACCCCTGGATCCGCTGCTTCTTACACCATGGAGTCAAAGACGCCAGCTAAGTCCCGGGCAACACCCAGCCAAGACCTGGCCTGGAACGAGGAATACAGAGGAGCCACAGGATACTTTTAGGCCCACCCCTCTCCTCTCTTCTGTTCTGTTTTCTCCTTTTTGTCGTGGAGATGGAGAAAGATAATGAGGAAGGAGACAGAACCAGTAATAAATATATTTGTCCAATTAGATGACGGATCCGATCAAGGAGAAGGAAAACGGAACATCTGGACAAGAACACCTTCCAGGACCTCGCGTTTAACCCCAATGTCATGACTCCCCCCTTGGCCTAAATGAGGACTCCCCAGTCAGCCCCAGCGCTGGCCCGTGGAGCAGGGCGGGTCGAGGAGAGCTCTATCCTTCAGGCTGCCCTGGGCATCCCTAACCCTAGGCAGGCAAATTCGAGGAACCCTCTTCTTAAGGACGGCTGGGAGGGCTTTTCACACCCAGCCCCTCTCCCGCACTGGCCATTTTTTGTTATGAAAAATGGGTGTTTTCTCAGTTTGAGCTAAAATGTTTTGCAAACATAGTGTTGAACAGTCACTTCCCCCACCCAGACTGCTGTCCCTCAGCTGCCTCCACAGAGAAGGCCTGCAGTCCCGCCCCGCCTCTGAGGGACCCCCCTGCTGGTCAGGGCGCCCAGGGACTGGGCAGGGGAAGGGGCTGGTTCTCACCTCTCGCGGTGCTCATTTCTCCATCAGGCCAGGCAAGGCAGTGGAAACCTGTGGGGGAGATGCAAATGGGGGCGCTGACTCCCTCCCCTTGGATTGTGGTCCTGGTGTCCACCTGCGACACGTCTCTCAGGTACCGGGGGCGGAGGCGGAGTCTGTGCTAGACAACAAAGAGATCTTTGGTTGGTGGATTCCTCTCCAGCCTGGAGGTGCCGCCTCGCTCAGGGGCCTCCAGACGTGGGTGCTGGGCCCCGAAGCTTCTGGTGGGACCGGTTGGCTGGAGCACAGGTGGAGGCCAAAGAGAGGCTCCTCTCCTTGGGATGCCTCTGGCGGCACCCCCTGAACCCCAGTGCACGTGAGGCCACGTGCCTGCTTTGCTTGGTCACGGTCTGCATCTTGGGGCCTCCTGCCCAGACTCTTGGCTGCTTTGTTTGATTCATCATAACGACCAGAAAGGAAAAGCAGCAGGACCAAGAAATTCCAAGTCTCCACAAAGTAAGAAAAGGTCACATCATGAGCACAAATCCCAGAGAATAATCCATGTAGGATTTTTCTGTCTGTTTTGGAGGCCAATTCATTTGAAGATTAAACACCTTTTTTCAAGAAAGGAGCGAAATTCACAAAAAACAAATATTTAAAACCCACTTTAAAGGCCTCTGACCTTTCCACAAAATATTATCATTCTTGTGCACAATTTCAGAAGGACTTTTCTGGAAATAGCTGACTGTGTAAACTTGCATGAGATAGCCGTGGCCACTTAATCTGTGAAATTGGAGTAATGATCTAAGTTTCCAAGCAGGCTTATGGAGACAAAATGTGCCGGGTGCAGCACTGTGTATGACGATGCAGGACACAGTGTTTGCCTTGGATCTGGCCTCTCTGTCTTCTCCTGACCGCCTGTCACAGGGTCAGCAACCATTTTCTGTAAGGCCTTGACAGCAAGTATTTTAGGCTTTGGGGACCAAACCATCTGCATCACTGTCTTCAGCCTTGCCACTGTAACGCACCCTCAGCCACAGCCAAGACACAGGTCACCCAACATGAGCATGTTCTTCACAGACTTACTGGAATTTCACATCATTTTATGTGTTATTAATTCTCTCCAGCCATTAATAAAATAAACACCCTTAGCTTGAGGACCATACAGGCCTGGGATGCTGGGGCTGTGGGATGCAGTTTACCCACCTTCTAACCTCACCCCCGCCCCCGGTCATTCCCACCCAATTTGCATCCACATTTCACCCCTCAGACTCCTTGTGTTTCCATATTTCTTCCACCCTGGAGGCCTGCTCTCCTGTCATAATTCTCTCTTTCAAGGCGGCATTTAGGAACTTAGGACATCTTGGCTCCTTGCCAGCTTCTCCCCGCCTCGGGTGGCTGGTCACCCCGGGCTCTTCCAGGAGGCAAAGTTGCTGGGACATGGAGAGGGTGACTTGCTCCTGCTGGCTCTGCAGAGGAGCCAGGATAAATCCTCCCTCCCTCCTCTCCTAGCACCTGCCCCCAGCCCCAAAACCCCAGTGATAAAAATCATTGCTATATGTCGAATGCCCTGTTCCTTGGAGGCAGGCCCTCCAAAGCCAAGGAGCTCTCGAGCAGGCAGCTAGCTCAACAACAGAAAAGACAGAAAAGGGGCCTCCCCTGTTGGTGCAGGCAGTTGAGTGCAGTGCTGTGATGCTGTCCTCAGCCTCTGCAGCACCGGTTCAACCCCGGCCAGCCAGGGAGGGTCCCACAGGGCACAGCAGACCTCTCCTGTCTCGCCCACTGCTCTCCTCAGCAGTGTATTTCAGTCAGTCTGCCTGTTCTGTTCTCCGCTCTGTCTCTGGTGAAGCCTCTCACCCTCCCGCGCATCTGGCCTGTACCCCGGTTCTTGTATAAATAAATCTTTTTTTAAGAAAAGACAGAAAGGCGCAAACTTCTTAAAGGCCGTGACGTTGTCATCCCTGGTGATGCTTTCGCCGGCCCCTCCCTCAATGTAGTCCCAGCTGGACTTTGACAGGCGCTCCCGAGCCAGGGCCTGGAAGTCTGTGACACACACCAAGGGCATTTCTGGACCTTCAAAGGCAAAACAGAAGAAGAAAACTCAGTGAGCCTACATCAGGGGTGTCGTGAGGGCGAGCTGTTGGGGTTCAGCGTTGTCTGTTCTTTATTTCATTATCTGCTCTTTATCTCCCTGGAACCACGCCAGCCCCCAAGCCAGAAGGCAGGGAGGCTGCCGCGTGCAGCCTCATCCCCAAAGTCCCTTCTGTTTGTCCTTTGGAATATCCCGCCTGTCTGTCCCCTTCTCTCCACACCCACTTCCGCAGATCTAGGGGCCCTCCTCGCCATACAATTATTACGAACATTTCTTATTTTCCTTGCTGAGCCTCGAGGCTCCCTCCCCATCTTGTCCCCAGCCGGCTGCCTGGGGTCTTTGTAAAATGCTCATCTGTCCACGCCCCCTGCCCTTCGAGTCCTTGCGTCATGGTGCCACAGCTTCCTAGGACCTGGCCCTGGCTCCATCTCTTGGTGGCTTTTCCTGGCCATCAGCCTCACCATGAGTACTTTCTGTTTCACTCCTCTGTGCTGCGGTGGGGGTGGGGAGGTAGGGGAGGCCCTGCTGATGCTGTGATCTGTGGGTTCCCAGGAAACCTCCAAGTATGAACTGCCTGGGAACGTGGTTGATGTCAAGGAGGAAGCTGGCTGGTCACAAATCCTTGAGAAGGTCATTGCCCATGTCCCTAGTGTTGAGACCAAGAAAACACCCATGTAGTCCCTCTGCTTTTTCCCACCCCTGCTCTGAAATCTATAAACTTGGAGTAGGGGACCTCAGACACCATCACCCCTAAAAAGGAAAGAGGACAGGGTTTGGAGTTCAGTCCCTGCAGTTGGAGCAAGGGCATGGGAATAGGAGGGGCGCTGGTCACAGCGTGGAGCTCCCGCAGAGAGGATTCTGGAAGGTAAGGTGGAGAAACCTGTGGTTCTTGGCTTGGGGTGTCTCCCTGGTAGTCGGCAGCATGGCGAAAATTAACCTTTGGCTTGAGGGTGACTTTTCAATCACTGACTAAGGATAAGCCCCAGGAACCAGGACTTCAACCACCAGTGAGGCAGCCTCTGATGGGCCAGGGGTCAAGGAGGTCAGATGAAATGTGGGGTGCTGGGAGCCTCGGTGGGGGTAGGAAGGAGGCACTGGCTTGAGGGCATTTGGGGTCGTGTCTGACTCTAGTCAAGTCAAAGGGGAGTAGCCCTGACACCTGCATAAGGAGCTACGCAAAAGAAGTTATATGACAGGCAGGAAATGGACAGCGTGGATGTGCAGGGGCTGTAGAGGGGGTTGGGGAGGAGGAATCTGGGGCACAGCCACAGTGGTTGTGTAGGCAACACTCCTTGTCAGGGGCGGACAGGGAGCTATTGAAGTGCTGAGGTGAATTTGACAAAGTACCGCAACTGTGCCTGAGTTAGCTCACCCCACCCGGCCCTTCAGAGATCAATCACTCGAGTCGAATGAATGAATCCTTGCATTTATCCAACTCTGTTACAATCACTTATTTGTGCCTCTGTATACTTGAAAGGTTTAACGTAACACGGAAGCATTGGGAGAATGCTATCTCTCAAAAGGCCTAGGGCAAGGTTGAAATTTAATGGGATATGGAACTCGGAACTTGATTTTCAGTCGGGTTCACGCCAGCCCCCAATAAGAATGACTTGCTGTGTCATTCTTTTTTTTTTTTTACAGACCACATGGTTTAGACTATCTGCTTGCTTTCGGGGAGCCTGGGATCTCGGTGTGGGCTTGGCTGAGGGGCATCTACATGACCAGCCCCCCACAAAAAAACCTTGGGCATAAACTGAGCTTCTTGGTAGACAACATCTCACTCTGGTGGAGGGTGCTCCCCCGGAAGAACCCTACGAAGCTTCCACCTGGTTTCCTCTAGATCCAGCCCCACGGGCTATTTGCCTCGGCTAATTTTGTTTTGCATTCTTTGGCTGTAATAAATCACAGCTTCAACTATACGATGTGCCCTATGAGTCTCCCCAGGGAACCAGGGAACTTAGGACCTCAACACACTCTGTCACCCAGCATCAGGATAGGACGTGGCACTGAGTCTTGCTGAGGCACGTTCATTACTTGAATTTAACATTCTCATCTGTCATCTCGCTGCCTTGTTGGGTGAGAGTTACCCGCCAGGCTTCAATTCCTGATTCTCAGCAAATCCTCGCAGAAATGCTCTTCTGCAGATTTGTTAGCATATGAGCTCAGCAATGCGTCTGTCTGATTAGAGAGAAATGGCTCAGACTCATTCATAATTGCCTGCCTGGAGTAGTGTGAATGGTATCATCCAGAAGCTGATTTAGGAAAGAAAGAAAAAGGAAGCCTGCATCTTTGTACACGCCAATACTATTTTTTTTTTTTTTGCATTTCTATCTAATATTTCCCTCTACTTTCCCGTGAGGTAGACAGAGAAGGCGTGCATCTCCTAACTTTGTATCTGAAGAGAACAAGACCTGGGGAGTAAAATAACTTGTGGAAAATATGGTAGTAAATTTTCACAGGGGAAGGTTCCAGAATCATGTCTTCTGGGGGCCTCTAAAGACAGACATTCTCCATCTTTGGTCTCAAGGTACAAAACTAAATAGTTGGTTCATATAAATTGTTATGTTGTACTTAAAAGAATATTGTACATTGGGGCCTCCTTTGTGGCACAAGGGGTTAAGTCTCAGCGCTATCTAGCTATCGCCAGCTACTGCAGCACGAGTTTGATCCCCGGCCAGGGAGCTACTCACATGGTGCAGCAGACCTCTCCTGTCTCGCCCTCTGCTCCCCTCAGCAGGGGATTTCAGTCAGTCTGCCTGTTCTGTTCCCCGCTCTATCTCTGGTGAATCCTTTCACCCCTGCACCTCTGGCCTACACCCCAGTTCTTGTATGCATAAATAAATAAAAATAAAAATCCTAAAAAAAAGAATATTGTAGGTTGAAAATATAATTATGGTGTCTTTCTTTCTTTTCATAGCACGTGTAGAGCTTAATGCTTTGTCCAATATTTTTATTAGCGACCCAATACAATGCTTACAGTTGAAGAGCAAACAGAGTTGCTCAGTGTCCTCTAAATTTGGGGGAGAGGCAACCCTGTATGTTTTTATGTAGTTCAGTTTGATCCATACCGGACATATAGCCACGAGAAATTAAAGATCATCCTATCTCACTGTTTTCTGGTTTCCCATTTTATTTGAGCTCCAGCCCAGTATTTCTTTCCTCTCCTCTCCAGCTGCCCAAGTGGAGGGAAAAGGAGGGAGAAGAATAAAGGTTTCCTGCACGCAGACCAAGAGCTCTAGCGTCCTTAACTCATTTCTCATCTGCCTGCGTTTCTCCTACTCAAGCACGCAGTCAAGGAGGCTGAGATCGACGTGCAAGGGCGTTCAGTGGGACCCTTTGCTAATGGCACAAGTTTGAATTGTTTTCCCAACTGAGGGAGGGGAGGGCAGGGCCTGGAGCTGGCAGGCATTGCAAAACCGACTTTGCTCTCAGTATTGCCATTTGCTCTAACTCAACTTGGCAAGATAATGTCTTTCTTCAAAGGTTTCATGGCTCATGTGATTCATGATGGTCTCTTTGAAAATTCTGGGTCATCAGATCTGCTCGTCATATAGCCCCTGGCCCCCAGGGGTTCTGTTGGAAATCTCTGGCTGGAAATCACTGGCAATTTGTGTATCCCCAGGGAGACCAAACGCCGCCTCTCTACCTCCCCTCCAGATGCCCCCGGGGGTGTCCTTCAAGACCCTGTGCCAAGTTTCCCAATGCAGGGGCAGAGATAACACCAAGGTTACACACTGGGGCCTTGCTTGAGAGATTACACAGTTCAAGTAGGGCCGAAAGCGCTTGGGTTGCTGTGTGCGGGGACACAGCCTCAGGGGGGCCTGGCCATCGCGGCGGCTTTGGGGGAGCTGCGGCAGCCAAAGCCCTGGTGGTGGGCTGTCGTGGAGGAGGAGGGGGCAGAGCTGGGGCACCTCAAGGGGCCACGTGCAGAGGGCGGTGTCAGGGCCAGAGCGAGCACCCACCCGAGGCAGAGGGCTGAGCCCCCGGGAGTCTGGGAGGAGAGGTCAGGGTGAAGGACAGGGTTCCCAGCAACAGGTCAGCTCTCAGAGTCGCCGCAGACCAGTGTCCCCAGCAGCAAAGGGGCCTGAGAGGCCCAGGGCTGAGTGCAGGGGAGGGCTGACCTGGGGGGTCAGTGTGGGATGGCGGACTCGCGTCCTGTCAGAGCTCTGATTTCTCTCGGTCCAGGATCAGCTCTGGCCTCTTCCCTGCGCCCACATTCTCTGTGACCAAGGACTCAGGGTTTCTCCCGGGCCGCGTGGCCACTGCGGGTCTCATTCTGTCTGGTGTAATAGCCGACTTCCCTCTTCAGCCCGCACCCCTCCACCACTATTTTCCTTCTTGGTCACTAACCCCCTCTTGGCCTGTGAGTTCTGCCATGAGCAGCAGGACAAGGGAGGCTCCAGAGCCCCCTCTGCAGTGTCTTTGATTGATTCTAGGAACATCGTTTATCATGGGTCAAAGTTTTTGAGGTTCTGAGGGAAGGCTCATTTATATCAGGGATGTGGTGACCTGGCTGGGTCATTAGCAAGCCATCGCCACACCTCCCCAAGCCGTAGTGACCACAGAGCCTGCCCGGGGGGATTCAAACACCATCAGAAGGCGTTCTTGATGGAGCCCAAAGAGGCCTTGAAGGGATGGAGGGGAGCTGCGTCTATGGGGAGCTGGTCTCCTGGCAGCCAGTGCTCCCCGATGTCACACGTCCCTCTTGCAGAGCCTTCTGGGTTACCTGGCACAGTCACCCGGGATTTGTTCTTATTGGAGAATCAGCGTCTCAGCGCAGACCTCAGATTTCTAGGAACTTCTCACGTGGGGCTTCATAGTTCGACCTCCTCCACTCCCAACCTGGTCTGCTTAGTCAACTCTTGGGATCAGCAGACACCCCTGCTTGCCCTGGGGACTGTGTTTGTGGCAGGTGGACAGGCAGCCAGCTTCGGGAGGGCCAGGCCATGGACTCTCTCCGTGTGAGCCTGCCAGCTGCTCT